GTTTGCTCTTTTAACAGAATTGTATCTCTGAATATGGAGGCTCCATTTACAAGGCAGAGCTGTGCATGATTACTCAGAAGCAAGTCCCTTTGTGTTCTAGGTATAAGTGGATGTTGTAATAAAATTAGGCTAATCTGGGGTTATGATCTCACTCATGTTCTTTGTTTAACATGTCAGTGCTCCTTCAGATTCAGGACTGTTGTCTTCAAACTATTCAAATGAATGATTTCTGGAAGCAGTCTGACTGATCTAAGACAAGAGAAAAGCACCCTGAATGAAGTAGTCAAATGGGCATTTTGAATTTCTAGGTATATTAGACTCATTTCTAATCGGAAACAGTGAGACTGAAATCCAAGCAGGAAAGACTATCAGGTTAAACTTTTCAAAAGGCTGGCCCTATTGTATTTGTATGTGCAAAATGGAGAAGGAAAGATGAGTAGGAGGACAGCAATAAGATGGAATGCCTGTCTGGTGCAAAATGTGTGGAACAGCCAGGTAAGCAGTAGAAAATCGAAGTAAAAGTATAAGGAAAATGATTCCATGACTGGTTTCACGTGCATGGCACTGTGCCAGTTTGCACTTTGGAATTTTCTAGATAATTTGATTTTATTGAGTATATTTCCAAATCAAACATTTTCAGAATTTATAATGCTGTGTACTATCAGTGGAAGCATTATTCTTATAGCTTGCTTTCCTTGGCCATGCCATGTACATTTGCAGAGTGAGAGTATGATTTGAGAAAAACCACCTTTTTTGACAGTATAAAACCTCCTACCATTATCATTTTTTTAAAATGTATCTCCTACTGCTTTAAGTTGCATTTAGTGTATTGTATTAATGTCCTTCGATATTTGTGCGTGTGTGCCTGTTTTTTCAGTCTGTAAAACTTAATTGATGGCTTTTATGTAACACAGCTTTAAAAATATTTTCTTGTGTGTTGTTTGAACTCTTCTTTGTCAAAGGTCAGCTAGAGTTACAATAACAACATACTTGAGCTTCTTGAATCATAACTTTTAGTCTCACTTGTAGCAAAGCAATACTTCTACTGAATAAGAAAAAGCCTTCTAGTCAGCAGCTGTTAGAAAAACTCTCTGTAGAGATTTATTATTTTTGACTTCTTTATCACCTTTTCTTCTGTGAATTCACAAATGTCGATACCCTTGCTTGGTTTTATTATTTGGTTCAGATTATATGTACCATATTGTTTATAGAGTGATTTTCTTGCTAAGTCACCAAATGCTTTTAATTGTCAATGGAATTTTACCATATGTGCTATACGGGTTCAGTTAAATTTCCATCCCACTCCTGCTTTTTCTAAATGATGTTGAAAATCACTTTTTATACTTTTACCAAGTTTCTCCGGACTGCTCTCATTTCTGAATATATAACTTATGAAATCCCTCCTGTGTAAAATGTATGGCATGACCACTGATTTGATAACCTGTGGAAGAAACAGTACAAAGTTGATGGGCTGTTGCTGAATCTATCACTGTTCAAAACTAAATCTTGGAAGGAAACATGATTAACATTCAAAGTTAATCTTTAAAAACACGAAGGTTTAATAGGCCAACTCACAGCTTATTAAAACTGTACACATTTTTATGATCTTGAGATCTCATCATGAAAGATGCAACCTTTGCATATGTGATTCTTTTTAAAGAAAGTATGTGTTTTTCTGAAAACAATTTGATTTCAAGTTCTTGGTGAGAATTCACATGTCAGCGCTATGCTTGTATTGGAATGATACAGATACTGTCTAATCTAATTAGACTGGAGTACATTCGGTGGTAGCACCCAGACATTGACATGCCATACCCAGACAGATCCGGATGTCCTATTGTTAGTGATTTTAGTGAACTTCAGATGACAAATTTGTGCTGCTGTAGTATGGCTTTTTGGTTGAGAAGGAGTCCATCTTTATTTTGTTCTTGATGTATTAACCTTGTGTGGTGTGAATCAGATTTTGGTAGCTAGAGTTTTTAACCCTAGAGAAAAATTGGTTTTCTGCTTTTTAATTTTGAAGCAAATGGAAATGCAAAAAACAGAGTTCGATCCCAGGCCCTGTACTCTTCAACTTGGAAGAAGTGGGAGGAATGCTTACCAAATTTGTAGATGCCACAAAATTGGGTGAGATCGCTAATATCTTAGGATACAGATGTAGGTTTCAAAAATAATCCTGGTATATTAGAAAATTGGCTAGAAAATAACGGAATGAAATTTAATGGGGATATGTGGAAAGTTCTTAATTTAGGAAAGATCACTCAAATGTGTAAATCACAGCATAAAAAGGTAAAGGTAAAGGTTTCCCCTTGATGTTAAGTCCAGTCATACCTGACTCTAGGGGGCGGTGCTCATCTCCGTTTCCTAGCCGAGGGAGCCAGCGTTTGTCTGCAAACAATCGCTGTGGTCATGTGGCTTGCATAGAAAGGTCTTAAATAAGTGTGGCATGTGGGGGATACCTGGCTTGACAATAGCACTTGTGGAAAGTTATCTTGGAGTTAGAGTTGAAGTTTGATGTAGCTGAAGAAAAAGGCAAATTCAGCTTTATGTTGCATAAATAGAAATATTGTTTCTAATTGCAAGGAATAATAGTTCTACTATATGCTTTACTGTTTGAAACTCATCCTGAATACTGCGTCCAGTTCTGGACACCATACTTTAAGAAAGAGTTAAATAAAATGGAACAAGTTCAGAGAAGGGAACAAAGATGATCACAGGACTAGAAACTAAATCCTGTGAGGAAAGATTGGCTATGTTTACCTTTGAAAAGAGAAGACTGAATGAGATATGATAGCACCTTTTAAGGACCAAAAGGATTGTCACAAAGAAGAGGGTTGCAACTTGCACTCTGCCATTGTTTATTTATTAAATATTTATTTATCACATTTGTATGCCGCACTCCATACCTGTAAGGTTCTCTGGGCAGCTTACATTTCATTGAGCAGCAATAAATAAAACAATTCACTATGGACAATAAATGATAAGGCAATAAAAATAGAACAGTTAAAGGAACAGTAAAACTCAAGCATTCATTAATAATAAAACTATTTAAAACAATCCTGTGAAATAAAAAATTGTCTGGCAGCTAAAATTCTAACATGGCAGTAGCAACAGTGAAACCAATGTGACAAATCATTACAAAACCAACTTGACTCACTCACCAAAATAGATAAAGAAATGTTTTCAGTTGGCATCTAAATGGAAAAATAGAAAATGCCTGGTGGATCTCTATTGGAAGCATATTGCACATAGAAGGCCCTTCTCCTAGCCATCTCCCCACTTAATTCATTGGGGGAGGGATTCAGAGAAGGGCCTCTGATTAAGATCTCAGTGATCAGGTCGGGACATATGGAGATAGGTTTTCCCTCAAACATCCTGGCCCCAAGCTGGGGGAAGACTATAGAAAACAAAATAAGAGGTTTAAGTTACAGGGAGACAGATTTTTGGTTCATCGAGAGGAAAAACGTCATAATAGTGAGAGCAGTCAGGTAATAGAACTGCCTAGGAAGGTGCTGGGTTCTCTGTCACTGGAGTTATTCAAGCAAACATTTGTCAGCCATCTTTCAGGGATGCTTTAAAATGAATTTCTGCACTGAGCAGGAATTTGGACTCAATAAGTCAAATGTCCCCATCTAACTGTAGGACATGAAAATTATTTATAGAACTTACTCTCATACCCAATAGAACGTATGGATTTACTGCATCTTTAACACCATTGTTGTAATATGTAAGGGAAAAACTTCATTTTTTCCATAGATTTTCTGTTCTTGTTCTTCTTCTGATCTTGTGTCTGTTAGCATAACTATGTACAATGCATCCCATCCTAGAGACTATTTATTATATTAATTTAAAGCAAATTTTCTTATTGTTCATCAGCTTAATGCACAAATTATGTCAGTCATAAAACTAACAAAATCATAAGCAGAGTAAGTATTTTAAAGATACCCAGGGCAAATAATTCAAATTGCATATTATCTGATACCCCCCCCACACACACACACTCCTACCTCAGTCTAGGATATATGAAAAGCAATGCAGCAAATAAAATAAAGAGAGATGCAACACTGCTAAAACCATTCTTTAAGCTCTTCTTTGGACCTTATTGGTACAAAAGAAAGAAATTACTTCTGTAATGTTTTTGTTCTTAGTCGCGAAGTCATGTCCGACCCATCGCAACCCCATGGACTATATTCCTCCAGGCCTTCTTGTCCTCCACCATCCCCCGGAGTCCATTTAAGCTCACACCAACTGTTTCAGTGACTCCATCTAGCCACCTCATCCTCTGCCATCCCCTTCTTCTTTTGCCATCTATTGTTCCCAGCATTAGGCTCTTCTCCAGGGAGTCCTTCCTTCTCATTAGGTGGCCAAAGTATTTGAGTTTCGTCTTCAGTACTGTAGATGGAAATGGCAACCCACTCCAGTATCTTTGCCATGAAAACCCCATGGACAGTACTTCTGTAATTGAACACAAATATGCTGAGCTTCATGTTAAATATATTCAGTAGATTGCAATACATAGTTCTAAGGAATTTATTGATTGATCAATATTTCTGGCTGAAGAAACCCATTCTGTAGGTTGAAACAAACATTTTTCCCAAATATAATAAGTAGAAAGTACTGAAGAAATATATAATGCTCCTTAAATTGTATTGCAATATCATCTTATTGGAAGAAAGAACCTGTCAAAAATAGAACTGTAGTATAATCTGAGTAGATTTGTTAATTGTGCAATAAAAATGAACAGAAGAGGAAAGAAAAACCACTTGTGTGTTCCAGGATGCTATAATAACTAAAGTATTAGATTTGGGCACAGGAAATCCAAATTCCACTCAGCGGTAAAATTTGGTTGCTGGCTTTAAGTTACTCTCTATCTAACTTCCCTCACATGGAGATTGTAAGGGTAAATGTAGGGAAGAATGTAAATTAAATAAAATGTACAGAAAATGCTATATTCTGGTGTTGATTTTAAATACTAAACAGGTGTGTGCTTTCTGTTTCAGCGATGTGCATATTGCAAGCACCTTGGAGCCACTATCAAATGCTGTGAAGAGAAATGTACCCAGATGTACCATTACCCATGTGCTGCTGGAGCAGGCACTTTTCAGGATTTTAATAACCTTACCCTTCTTTGCCCAGACCACATTGACCAGGCTCCACAAAGATGTGAGTAGCAGCAGTAAACCAAGTGAATTTAGAAAAGAGAGTTATTTAATAGTTGCTTCTAACCAAATATTTAGTTGTTTATTTCAAAACAGTTCATGAACTTGAGCCTTCCATATCTTCTGCAATTCCAAATTGTATAGCAATTTTCTGTATCCATTCTTTCTGCTGTTTTTATTTCTTTTATACTGGTCTTCTCTCTTCCTTCATGCCACCATCATGTCCCAAGTCCCAAACTTCACTGCAACCTCAGCTTCCCTTGGTTTTAGTACATAGGCTCCTAGCTTCTGCTTTTCAACAGTTCTTCACCTTGCTTTCCTCTTTTGTGAGCCATTTCTCTTTCATGCTGTTATATAGGTCCTAGAAGGCCATTTCCCTTATAACAACATTCCATGGGTTAAAATATTTGGTACCAGAGAATGGGCATGCTCCCTTCAGCATGTCAGCTGCCTCCTGTTTTACCTGTGTATGGTAGACTCACTCGTAGGTTGTTAAGTGTGTGACACTGGGTTGTTTAGGGTCTAACTCAAAAACAAACCTAGGATTGTTTCAGGTTCACATGTCATGCTTCACAACCCACAGCATGGCTAATCATAGGGCTTTGATTAAAAGCAGAAGTGGTAGGCAATTAGGAGTCAAGCACACTCTTTTATGTACCTGCATAACATAAGCCATGGTCTATCTTTAAGTGTGAACCAGGTCAATACATAGTATCTGAGCCACATTACTCATAGAGTCAGGTGCTTCTTCCTGTTTCACTTGTCCATAACAGTTGGAAGTTAAGTTGATCGCTGACAGATCTTTACCACAAATCCTTTAGAGTGTTGCATTACAGAGTCATGATAAAGGGTAGTCACTGTACAGGAGCTCTTGTACATTCTTATCGGCAGTTCTTCAGAAGTAATTTGATTTGGATTTACTTCCAAATCACAGGTAGTAGTAGTTCTGCTATACTAGTTGGACCTCATCTGGAATCCTGTGTCCAGTTCTGGGGACCAAGATTTAAGAAAGATGCCGAAAAGTTAAAAAGGGTCCAGAGGAGGTCAACAAACATGATCAAGGGTTTAGAAACATTGCCCTATGTGGAGACACTGTTTATCTAGTTTCTACTAGATAAAAAATCACAAACTACAAGTCTCTTTCTTCTACTTTCTTGGGTTCAGTGTGGTTAATATCAGCTTTGGGAAGGGATTCCTTAAGCAGTGGTATAATATGCTTTGCAAATGTATGTCGCTACATCAGTTCACACACCTCCACCTCCTTGTGAATACTAAATATATTAATACTGACATAGAGCACATACCCATATTTATTATGATCATTATTACTTTACATTTCTCTACTGCCCATAGCCAATGCCCTCTGGGCAGTTCACATTTTATGTCTCCCATTCAGATTTCAGCCAGGCCGGACCTGCTTAGCTTCCAAGATTTCAGGTTATATAGAAGTTACCGCTTAGGAAATTTAGGCAATTATTGGTTATTGTGAGCTGCTTGTACCTTCTGGAAGACAAGAATACACTTCCCATTTGTGTTACTCATACAATAAAGAGGATAATCTTTTGTTAATAAATAATAAAAAGAATTGGAAAAGAGCAATCCCAGTCTTTTCCTACAACTTCAAGCCTTTAAGTGTACCTGCTTTGACTGGGATGAAAGATAATAGGGAAGTAGCAAAAAATCTATTATTCTGCTTTCCTATCCTGTAGCTCTTCAGAGAAAATGTTGAGAAATGAGGGAAGGAGCCAGGCTATGCTGTTATCAACTTACTTGTGGCTACTTCACCCCTCTCCCTCACTTTGCACCCTTCATTCTTGATAAATTAGCAGTTGATACTTCTTGTTATATCTTTAAAAGGGATGGAGGAATTAACAAAATCAATTTGTTAATACTGGTTTTATCTTCAAAGAAGGTAATATGTATATTAAATTGAATATTTATATTTATATCCTGCTTTTGTTCATGCAAGGAACCCAAGTTGACTTACATGTTCCCCCTCATCCATTTTATCCCTATAAAAATGCTGTGAGTTAGGTTAAGCTCAAAGTCACCCAGTGAGCTTCATGGCTGAATGGGAACTGTTATTTATTGTTTCATTTCATTTCTATACCGCCCATAGCTGAAACTCTCTGGGTGGTTTGCAACAAATTATAAAAACAATAAAATATAGATAAAACATTAACAAGAATTAAAAATTAATTTTAAATAGCGTAAAACATTAGAAAACAATAACAAGACCCAGTCAAGAATAAAAGAAAGACACCTGGCTAATTGTGTCATGCCCCTGAATGACCAGGGAGGTCTTTCAAAGGGCTTTCTTAACCTGGCACCAAAAGATAGCAAATTTGGCACCAGGCAGGACGCAGCAGGGAGAGTGTTCCAAAGATGGGGAACCACCACAGGACAGGCCTCCCATTACTTGCCACCTTCTGAGCCGCTCAAGGGCTTGGCATCCAGAGGAAGACCCCAGAGGTTGAGCATCGTGTCTGGGTAGATTGTGGTTATGAGAGGCACTCCGACAAGTATTTCAGCCCCAGGTCATGTGGGGCTTTACGGGATGAGATCAGCGCTTTAAATTTGGGTCAGAAGCATACAGGTAGCCAATGCAGGTGGGCCAGAACTGGCCTTATATGTTTGGATCTCTGGGCCCCAGTTGTTAGTCTGGCTGCAGCATTCTGCAGGAAGTGCAGCTTCTGAACTGTCTTCGAGGGCAGCCCCACCTAGAGTGCATTGCAGTAATCTAATTTAGAGATCGCAGATCACTGAAGCCAGACTATCCCTGTCCAGGTAGGGTCGCAGCTGGGCCACCGGCTGAAGCTGGTACAAGGCACTCCAAGCCACCGATGCCACCTGAGCCTCAAGTGATAAAGATGGATCAAAGAGCACCTCCAAGCCAGTCCCAGTCCAACACTGGATATAGAATGACATTATGCACTGGATGTTTTTATATGGAAGCCAGTCATACTTTTAATGTTTGTATACATTCTTCCAGTGTATTTTCTGACTTATGAATCCTTATATAGATTTGGAGCAATATTTTTTATTTTTTGTACAACTTAAAGCTATATCAAAGTTTCCTTTTTCTGATCTCAGAGAATGCTTTGTCCTTCATAAAATAACGTCAAGTCTATCTGTTGATTTGTAGCAAAAGAAGAAGCAAACTGTGCAGTCTGTGATAGCCCTGGTGACCTCTTAGATCAACTTTTTTGTACTACCTGTGGCCAGCATTACCATGGGATATGCCTGGATATACAAGTGACACCTCTAAAACGGGCAGGTTGGCAGTGCCCTGATTGCAAAGTGTGTCAGAACTGCAAGTAAGCAAACCTGGATAATGGTTTATTGTGTGTTAGGTTTAGCTATCAGAATTCGGTAAAGAATTAGAAGAACCTTTCTGAAAATTTTGTATGGCCCTGCAGACACCAGGTTTTAATAAATTGATGGGGTGGGGGCGGGGGAAGTGTTGACATCTGTGATAAAGATGCAGAAATGCCAAATGGGAGATTTGCAAAGAATCAAGCAGAGTTATAAAGAGTAAAATAAATAATGAAGTAAGAATATAATTCAATAAGTTGAGTCAATAAGAAAAAGTACATTCTTGAATAAGAGAGTGGCCATTATTTTCTACTATCTATTACTGAGCTGTGTGTTATACAAATGTTTACTGTGTGTTCCTGCATCTAGGCTTTCATAGCCTTGGTGGCTTCCCACCAAAGTCTGTTTGTAAACTGAGGGGAAACATCCTACAGAGAATATTTGCTTTTGGTAGCCCAAAATGGATTGTATATTTTGTTCAGTTATGGAGCAAGCCACCAGCTAACTTTGTTTTAGATAACATGTTGGGCCTAGTGTAAAGCAAAGGCCACCCAAAGCAGGCCACTGCTTTCACAGTACTAGTCTGGTGCAGCAGTTCTTATATTCAAACAAAAATATATGTATTTTTAGTGGAGAAAAGTGTTAAGATCGGGTTACTGGCTGTATTGCTATTTTACTTCTTCAGCTTAACATATTATTAGTCACTTTCAAGCTGATGTGTCACTGTTTGTGGGCAGCTACCTTACCACAAATGAGCACATGCATTGTTTGCAGAAAGTGTTGGTTCAGTTCCTGCCAACTCCAGCTAGGACTATGAAAAAGCCCTGCCTGAAATCCAAGGAGCTGCTGCTAATCAGTTTCAAGAATACTGAGTTAGATGTACAAATGTACATCTGTAAGACAGCTTTTTATATTCCCATGTATGACAAAGTGTTAATTTTTAAAAGTATTTTTCCTTCATACCCAATAAGGCTTCAACAACTAACTTGTTTCTTAGGCATTCTGGAGAAGATAACAAGATGCTTGTATGTGATACATGTGACAAAGGTTACCACACTTTTTGTTTACAACCAGTTATGGATTCTGTACCAACAAATGGCTGGAAATGCAAAGTAAGTTTAAATATAGGGTTCAAATTGGACATTAGCAGCATAAAACTATATTTTTAAGTTCTTCATCTGTAGATTTCCATTCAGCTCAGTTCAGCTCACAAGCAACCATGTATAAAATTAAAATTTTTGGTTGACCTTTAAACCTGTTAAGTGGAATATTGTAATGTAAGTGTAAGAATATTAAAAAGGCTCATAATTATCAATCATAATTAGATTTTTAATGAACATCTAGCTGAAAATTAGTACATCATTTACATGTTCTCATTTCCTGAGAATATACCAATCATGGCTTAATAGACTACGATGTTGTTCATGTTGTTAAACAGCAGAAAACAATTGGTATTGGAAGTACATGACCATGGCATTTGATCATTTACCAGTTTATATTGGCATCCATCCATCCATTTATTTATTTATTGTAAGTCTGTAAAGATTCAAATCAGCACTAGTTGTATTAATTGAACTTGATTGTTTAGAAGTATAAAATTTCCTAAGATTTGTGAAAGAATTAATTGCTGCTCTCTATCCAATCTACTTTAATGGAGAAAAACATTCCCAAATTGTAGGGATGGAGAATTCACAGTGCAGAGAGGCTTATTACCGTTTAGTTTACATTTCCGTGGTCAGAAATTAGTATCTAGTTGATTCAATTTTAGTGAGGGAAAATTTACTTTTATTTTCTGCATAGAGGTGTCAAAACTTGAATCTTCTGTTGTAGTTGGAAATGGCAGGAGAGAGCTATTCCGGACAATCAAGTGACTATTTCGTGTGATAATGTTTTCCTTAAACTGTTTTTTGCCCAGTAAATAAAGTGCTCTTTTTTTTTAACTTCCAAATAAATTTATTTGAAATTTCTTTTTCAGTCAGTGTAAAACAGTGATGGCGAACCTTTACTGATTGCCCAAATTGCAATCCACAACCCACTTCTTCATCGCAAAGTGCCATCACTACAATAAAACCTGAAAACTGAGCTTTAATTTTAGAAAAATCAACTAACAGCCAGTTCAATATATATCCTTGGCAACGCACTGACCGGCCATGTGAAAGCTAGGATGAGTTGTGCCTGATGCGTTGCGGTTCATGACATCATCGCCTGGTGCCGCTACCCCTTTCTGAGCATGCACATGGCCCCTATGTGCGCAGTTATCCAATGCTCAACTGTAGGGGCAGTGCTGGTGCGCCTTGGCTTCCATGCCGACAGGGAGGGCTCTGCGTGCCCGCTGTGGCAGGTGTGCCTTACGTTCGCCACCACTTCCCTAACCTGGTGCACTCCCATAACCCTAATAGAGGGCTGAAGTTCCACTGAAAAGAGGGCGATTTTGAAAAACTCTTCCTTGAGTAGCTTTTCTGCCCAACTCATTGTTTATGCCCATTCTAAACACATTCCAGCCATCAAAATCATGCCAGGACACCTCATTTTTGTAACCCTAACCCTGCCCTGGTACAAACACAGAACGCTAATATGGGGCTAAAGTTCCATTGAAAATAATGTGGCTTTGAAAAAGCCTTCCTTGTGTGGCTTTTTCTGCACAGCTCATCTTTCCTGCCCATTCTAAACACATTCCATCCAGCAAAAGGTTAACATGACCCCTCTTTTTTCTAAACGTAACCATACCCTGGTGCACACCCCTAACCCTAATAGAGGGCTAAAGTTCCATTAAAAGTAGGGCAATTTTGAAAAAGCCTTCCTTGAGTAGCTTTTTCTGCACAGATCATCATTTCTACCCATTCAAAACACATTGCAACCCTCAAAATCATGCCAGGACACCTCGTTTTTGTAACCCCAACCCTGCCCTGGTGCTCACCCCAACCCTAATAGAGGGCTAAAGTTCCATTGAAAGTAGGGTGATTTTGAAAAAGCTTTCCTGAAGCAGCTTTTTCTGCACAGCTCATCATTGCTGCCCATTCTACACACATTCCAACCATCAAAATCATTGCAGGACACCTCGTTTTTCTTACCCTAACCCAGTGATGTTGAACCTTTTAGAGATCGAGTACCCAAACTTCTACCCAAAACCTACTTATCACAAAGTGCCAACACTGAAATAAAACCTGTAATCTGAGGTTTTAGTTTAGAAAAAAGAAATCACTGCCAGTCCAAACAAATATATGTATATCCTTGGCCGTGCCCTGATTGGCCATGCAACAGCTCGATTGCGTTGCGGGTAATGAGTCGTGGCTTGAGACATTATCACCTGGCGCCGCTACTAGTTTCCAAGCATGCGCATGGCCAATGCTTGGCTGCTGGGCGATGCTGGGGCGACTTGGCTTGTGTGTCGACAGAGAGGGCTCTTTGTGCTCACTGTGGCACGCGTGCCATAGAATTGCCACAACTGGTGCAGAACATGTTAGCCGGTTACTATTTTTTATGTCATAGACTAGTAATATTAAGAGAAAGTGCTTATTTTCTGCTATTTCCAGAACTGCAGGATATGTGCAGAATGTGGTACACGGACTAGTAGTCAGTGGCATCACAACTGTCTTATGTGTGAGAGCTGCTACCGTCAGCAAGACAACTTACCTTGTCCTATCTGTGAAAAGTCCTCCTATCCAGAATTACAGAAAGACAAATTGCACTGTCATATGTGCAAAAGGTAAGAAGTCTTACTTTAAAAGAACTGGATGTCTTTATTAGCTATTCTTAATGTGTATTTTATCTTTGCTTCCAATCTATTGTATCCGGTGTAGATCTGCTGAACCCCCCCTTAAATTCCTGGACTAGAACTTGACTAGTCTCATGTTAATCAGTCATGAGACTTGCACCACGATTCTCACCTTATTTTAATTAATTCTGTACTCATAGAGAAATACTTGTCAAATATAAAAAAGAGAGGGGGATTATATAGGCCATCTTGGGTTCCTTGTAGGAGAAAAGTATAAATGTAATTAAATATGGTTGTCATTTTTCCATATCTAATGGATTATAAGCTGAATTTTATTGATAGTTAATAACTCTTGTGCTGTATACAAAGCAGTTTTTTGTTGGTCAATGTAGTATTTTGAATCAGTTGTGCAAGCGAAGTATAGTCAAAATGCCATTTTAGTATTAGCTTAATTTGTCAAGGTCCAAAGAGGCGATGATAATATTGATGATTTTCTCACTGAAGGTAGGACTTTTAGTGATTGTAATGTGAAAATTTTACTGAATGATTCCCTGCAGGTGGATTCACATAGAATGTGACAAACCGCCTGATAATGAACTGGATGAGCAATTAAAAGACTATGTCTGCAGTCTTTGCAAACACTTGGAAGTAGAAGAGGAGCATGCTCAGTCCTGTGATATCATGGAGATTGCCAAAGTTCATCCTGAAACTGGCACAGGTAAGAATCTCTTCTTTCATCTGCTCCATGGGTACTGCTAGTCGTTCACCTGATACTTTGTAGAGTCCTTTCACTGCAAGATTAGTAAGCAAAATAGGCTTAATATGGATTATATATTTTTAAAAAAACCTTCACTGTAAGTGAAAGACTAACGTATTTGCATAAATATATTTTGCACTCTTTTGTCTACCCCAGCCTTCCCCCACCTTGTTCCTTCCAAACACATTTGGACTGCACCACCCGGAAATCCCAGTCAGTGCCTCTGCTGGATGGGAATCCTGGGAGTTGCGGTCCAAATGCCTCCGAAGGCTACTAGGTTGGAGAAGGCTGGTCTACATCATCCAACTCTATGCTAACTGTGGGGTCTTCACCTTTTAAAAAGCAGCAGGCTTAACTATAACCGAGCATACAGAAGTTTTGTTACATATGTTTTGTCATTCTTTCAACTGAAAAATTTAGTAAGTGTGTGAATAGCATTTTAAATTACAATAAAATAGGAAGATATATGGATGTTTATATGCCATAACATACAAGGAGAATATCACTTTTTAAAAAATAATCTGAAATTTAGCTTACCCTACCATATCAGAGGCACTCCAAGACAGTTCAGGACTTCCTTGAATCCAATTCCATTGTATCAGCCATCTCCCAAAGTTTGGGATAAATGTAAAATGTCTCAGTTGCATTTTTTTTGTATTTAACACCATATTGCAAACATCTTTCACAATGATTCTAAAATATCCCCAAGTGTTAATATTAAAACTTTTATAAAATATTATTTTGTTGGTGCATGATACCACAAGATTTGACAAGGATACATTCTATTATGATATGAAGCATTGTGGAAGCGTCTTGGTACACATATTTCAAAGGTTGTTCACAGTAGCAAGCATGTCTCTCAATTCTGAGCACTTTTACCTTTGCCATTAGATCTGGCCACCCACTGAGGACAGGTTGTTTGCAAAATGTGCAGATGTTGTTGACATTGCAGTGACCCCCACAAGCCGGATCATTTTTGTGCAAATTGAAAGCCAGTAATGGTGGTTCGCGTATTGCAATAGTCCCCACTCAGCCACAAAGAACTCTGGATGACTTCGGGACAGTCATAGAGCCTGGCTGATCTCACAGAGTTGTTACAAAGATGAAAATGGAGTGGAGGGGAGCTATGTGCCATCTAGGGTACTTTGAAAGAGGGGGAAAATGGTGAGGTTAAAATGCTGTGCAATAATAAGTCATCATATGGAAGGGGCATTGCCATCTAAGGAACCCTGGAGAGCTAAGAGTTTCAACATCCTTTGAATCCTTTATAAGAATAAAAACAGAAGTGTTTCACTAAATAAAAGAGAGGCTGTATGAACCATAATATGGCAGTTTGTACCTTGTAGTGTTTGAGAACTTCCCAAAATATGGAAGTTTGAGGCAAAATTTGTATTAGGATGTTTTCGGTGATGTTGGGGTGTGTTTGACCATAACTTTTGACAGCTAAAGCAAAACTATAGAAGATATTGATTGTACATACTAGAACTAGAGACTTTACTCTGACCAAAATATATGCAGTATCACTGTTGATCATGAAAATTGTGCCTTAATTTAGAAATCAATTGTATTTTCTGTCCTTTTGTGATTTAGTGTACTGTTAAAATAACATTGTGTGGAAACAAAAGGTCAAATCCAAGAACAGTTACTGGTAATAATACTACATCAAGGCTGACAATTATTTGCTGCTACTTATGTTTGTGCAGATGAAATGGAAATAGAAGATGGTACAGAACATGTGGCAGATGAGGACCAATTAGTAACCAATAGTGGCTTTGCTGAAGATACAGCTGTTAAGTGCATCACAGATGGTAAAAGAATCTCCCCCTCTCTCCCTCTCCCTCTCCCTCTCCCTCTCCCTCTCTCTCTCTGTGTATGTGTGCACATGCACATGCATACAGTGAGTTAATATATTTGTCATGTATGTAAAATATATTTTCTGAAATTAAAATTTTGAAGTATTTGGCAGTGTTGACTAAAATCGCTAGTCGTTGAGCAGTGTATCTTTTCCTGAGCAAGAAAGGAAACTCTTCCCTAAGAGAAGTCTGCAGGCAAGGTTTGAATGTATAACGTACTAATGCTTACTGAGAGTGATGTTCTGACCTTGTTCTGTTTCAATATGTAAGTGTATATAAGATGCTCAGAAGTAAAAATAGGAAGCATTAGGTGGTAGTATAGTGGTTGACTACCAGATATAATTCATCTGTGAATCCTGCTCACTTAAACAATAGAATAAGATATACTTCTTATTCACAATGCTAAGAGAAGTTGAAAAAATGTGAATGCCTATTTAGAAGATAGAAAAAGGAGTAAGACCTCACAAATTGTTTAGAATATGCAAATTTCAGTGAGATGATAGTTAACATATGTAGCAAAAGTATGAATTGGAAATGCCTCATGGGAAAATTCAAGTTAAAGAATCTCAGTGGTAAAGATTAACAATAAACACAAGGATCTTATGTGACATGCCTGGGAATCTCATGTAAAGCTATTGCTCAAAGCAAGATCAAATAAATAAATATTTCTTTTCATTATTATTGTATTTAACTATGGGCTTTAGTAGTTTAGCGTCAAGGCTGGAAAATCCACTTAATGTTTCTGTATGGCATTCATATTCATTCTCTCTCTCTCTCTCTCTCTCTCTCTCTCTCTCTCTCTCAAATTATGTTTAGCTGCTAAATATAGCAATAAAACAGATGATAAAACAAGCAGTCCAAACACACATGTTCACACACTTTATTATTCATGAGATAAAGTTAATATATTGTTGAAGAAAATTATTTGAGATGTTTATCTTTTGCTTAAATTGGTAATAAAAATATTCTGATCTAGCTTCAGCTTGTATTGTGGCCATGGACAGCTTAACAAAAATGTTAATTCACTGGCAGGTTTTGGATATTATGCTAATTTATGGCTTTGCAAAACATGAATAAGCCTAGTTTACACACTGACCTCTCTCCTGGATAAACAGAGAAAAATCTTAACCTTGTTTACTTAAGCAAGTCAGCTCCAGTAATCATGGTTTGAATTGTTGCCAAATGTCTCATCATGGACTCACTAGAAGACAGGAAAAACTGCAATCTAGGGCTAGTCCAGATCTTGCTAAACCAGAGCTTGGCAAAAAGGTACATCTGCATCTACTGAAAGATCTCTGGGCTATTTGTAGTAGTTCAAAAAAGTTTTTCTAATTCCCAGTTTTTTAGCAATAGAAGCAACAGTAGTGCCTGCCCAAGACATTTTGCTGCTGAAGACAGGAAACAAGATTCCCTTTCTCCCATTCCATGTACCAAAACTGGATAGGTGAATTAATTACATTCATCATTGATAATGGGGTAGCAACTTCCATTGTACCTGAAGATAGCAAACTAATTTTGGGGGCACATTCCAGGACTCATGGTATACCTACAAATCTATCACCTTTCTGATGCCTCCTAGCACTGGCCACCTGAGGTAACTGGTAGGGTCAGTCCCGGCAAAATGGCCATCCCCACACACCCTAAATCATATTGCTAAAATAAAGAAGGTACTTTGATATCCAGGAGGAGGTCTCGGTGTAGAAGATTGTAAGCTCTATTTCAGTTTTGGAACTCAGATTCCCTGGTTCAGAATTCTTTAAGCACAGTCTTTTGCACAAGATTAAGATTGGTATAATTTGAGGATCTTTCTTTTTTCTTTTTAGTCTATCCTGCAAGCCTGAGATTTCCCCACTCCTAAGCTAAATCATAGTTAAGAACAGCCTTCTTCAGCCTTATTTGACACAATCCCACCCAACATGGCCAATGGTCAGGAATTCTGGGAACTGTAATTTTAAAACATCTGGAGGGCATCAGTAGATTAAGGCTAGTTTTGCATGATTTCTGTAGCAGCTCTTCCCCTTCTACCAGGTAAATCAGGACAAAGACTTTCCAATTAAAAGTCTTTATTATATTAAAGTTGACTAGCTTAGTTTTGTAATGCAGAAGAGTGTTGCATGAAGCAATAACAAAAGAAACAAGCAAAGTTATACAGTTGGCCATTAGGAAAATGCAGGTTCATCATATGAAGTTAATTCTAAACTAAATACCTCTATTCCCTATCAAACTGAAAACAGTTAATTCACCATCAAGGTGAATCTTGCTGTTTATCGGTGTTGACACTTGAAGCATCTGGAGACACTGCTTATGGCTACTGATGCATCTCACTTGGGCCACCTTCTTAAACTGATGCTGTATGATCTGCTAATTATGTTGGACGCACACCCTCCCATATCAGCTTGTTCCCTAGACTTCACAAAACTTGAAACTGCCTGATTCTCAGGAACCACCTGGCCTATCTCTAGACCTGATGGCCTTGGCAGTTCAGCTGTTAGCCTCATCTTCTGAATCAGAATCCCATTCAGCAATCTCTGAAGGCTGCATTATAGAAGGAGTGGAAACAATTTCTACAAAGTCCCTGTAGAGCAGAACTGTAAAGGGCATGTTATTTGTTTATTATTTATTAGGGAAAGAATTGGAAATAAGATAGCCAGTGCTGTTTACTTTAACATATGGGGAAACAAATTTGGAATAAAAGCAAGTATTACAGAACTGGGAAATGAGCAGAAAATGAAAATCAAAACTATTGAGGATTTTGTGCATATACTATATGAAAAAGATTAAAATCTTTTAAAATTAGTTCAGTGAGAAAAAGACTTCCAAAGAGGCAAATGATCAACATGTATAAAATTAAAAATTGTTTGGAGAAAAGTCAAAAGAACGTTTTCTCTCTTGCACAATAGCAGAACTCTGTGCCACCTAATTGACATTATTAGAAGTTAACTGAGGGCAGATGAGGCTGTTTTTCATATTACATATAATTAATTTGTAGCATTTACAGCACAAGGGCAGATAATGACCAACGAGTAGAATACACAAATCTTTGTAGAAGACTAACAATTATTTGTGGTTGGTGATATGATGCATATTCATATTAGAATATCTGAGAAGGCTTGGGACAAGGAAATGAACATGCACTCTCAAATTTCAGCAAAAGATCTGAGCTGTTCACATATTTGTTATTTTGTATGATACTTGAATGAAATCCCCCTTTTTTCAGGTCTCTCATTAAATGAAAAGAATGAATTGGAAACACAAATTTCTAATCATTTTGGTACCAATGAAATGGAACTGTCTCTTAAAAAATCTCCTGCATCTGATGGTACTCACACTGATACAAAGATGGAAACAACAGAGAATATCCTAGACACAATCCAGCAAGAGTCTGAAAAGCGAAATGAAATGAAACCATCACAGGAATGCAGTGAGTATTTGGAAATGTCCACAGAGGAATCTCTGCCTCCACTTGTGACACCTGAAGATATAGCAAAGATTCCTAAAATGTTCGTCATAGGCAATCAAGACAGTACCTCTTGTAGACAGGAAGAGCAGTTAGAAGCAAGGGTGGTGCCCGAAGGTCCAAATGGAGATGATACTCCTGAAATTTGTGAAACATCATCTCTTCCTGCAAGTGAAAGTTGTGCCACTGACAGTTCACCATTGGGAGACAAATCTTTAAAGTCACCAGCTGAGGCATTTTCTTCATTTCCATCATCTGTTGAAATAAACAAGACTAGTGTATCTTCCTCACCAGCAGCCTCACTAGAGTTAGTCTCATCACATGATATGATGCGTAGTCAGGCATCATTGCTAGAATCCTCTGCAGCTCTTCCAACAACATATGTTTCACTCACTCCAAAAATTGGAATGGGAAAACCAGCAATCACCAAAAGAAAGTTTTCTCCTGGGAGACCAAGGTCAAGACAGGTGAGCATGTTATACTGAAACCTTCTATAAAAAGCATTTTTACTAGCCATATTGCTTTATAAGAATCATTATCTGGCCATGATTTTAAGAGAACCATTTGTTTTGCCTACTGTCTGAAAATGAGACCAGGGCATTTTTATTAGCATTTTAGTACATTACAACCCATTAACACAAGGGAAAAAACCTCTTATGTTAGCTTTTCCCATTATTGAGTCATTACACTTAAAGATAAAATGAAAAATCTTTGCATAGCTTTTAATTCAAACTTGAATATACAAAGTACACATTTATACCAACAAATTTCTTTTGCATTTCCCCTCATTTTTCATCATTAAATTTTACTCAATTTTCATAGTTTTATATTCTTAGAATACAGAGCATATTTTTCAGTATTATTATCTGGTTAGACTGTTCAGCTATTCAGAGCAAACCTGTATTCCTTGTAGGTGGTGATCAACAATCATCTCTAAGGATTTGCAATGCAAAACTCATTTAATCTTGCTCTTTAAAATCTAAAAATAACTTAGGAAAACTATTTATTTCATTGATTTAAGACTATATTTGTAGTTTTCTCCAATATTCAGTCAATTTTTCTACATGTTTTATTAAACATTCCACTTTTGCATCATAAAGATTTAAGCTAAGTATTAATGTCAAAGGTGTGGGGGGAAAGCCTATAACACTACCAGTTACAGATTGCTTTTGGATGCAGCTGTTCCTCCTTTGACCAATGGACAGGGCCAGAGTGTCTTCCCCTTGCCATGACATTCTTTCTGGAAGTCACTAACTTAATTTAAAAAGTCACTAATTATTAAAAACGGATTTTGAAATTACATATTGATTTTTATATAAAGCCCTTTTTTTCAAGTTGACAGTTGCCCCCCAATAATACAATATTAGTTTGATTTTACTGTAACTTATTTAATGTTAGACTAATATTGAATATGTAATTAGCAAAATCTGTTTTAGTTCAAGCAATTTCTACAATAAAATAAATATGCATTTATACATTTCAGTGATTTATACATCATTTCTGCTAAAATAATGAACAGATGCATTTTTCCAACTTCTCTTATCAAATTAAAAATGTATGCCTAAGCAATTTGATTTTCTAAAGTCTATTCTATGCTTACAGTCATTGTTCCTTTTCATGTACAACTGTGCACCGTGTCAGAACTACATGCTATGTTATGGCTGTTTTCTTTAAGTGCTTCTTGAAATGAAGTATTTTAGTCATACTGTGGTTATGTACATTTTTAATTGCATGTGTGTGAAAATGCTGAAGATGATTGAATAGTTGTTCACTTGGTAGAGTGTAGCCAAAGTATCAGATTTATGTGGTGCCCTGGCTTTTTAAAACTCTCACTGATGTCAGCTTCAGGTTATTCAGATATTCCTGTGTTTCCTAATTACAGAAACTATACACATAACTTTTCAGCATGTGGATTGCAGATTTGACTAGGTTTATGTTTGCATTGTTAGAGAATAAACATTTAGTCTCTGCCACGTTTATGTACCGATTCAAAAATATCTGTTTTGATTTCACAGCATAGTGAAGGCCAGCATGGTGCACCACACTCGTGTGGTGTGGTGGTTATGTTGATCTGGGCTACTTAGGGGAAAGGCGGTATATGAATGGAATACAAAAACAAATATAGACATTTATCTAGTAATTAACTAGATGGTGATTGTTTAGCTTTTCAGAATGCCGTTGTATTTGTTGTTGACTTGCGATTTTATTTGTGTTTTTAGGATTAGCTTTAATGTTGTTTTTATAGACATTCTACCCATCCTGGGCTCTTTTAAGATTCAAAAATGATGGATGGATGGATGGATGGATGGATAATACATAAGCATCTGTTTGTTACTCAAATTTACTTTTGATTTTGCCATTTTGTTCAGTCCAAAACCCAGTTGAAGGCAACAGAAATGTAATGAAGGGCTAACTAAGGCTTCAATTCTGTGCCCACTTACATAAGATCAAGACCCATTAAACACTTTGAGCCTTAATGCCTTAAAGACGTATATGGACATATATTGGGTTGCTGTATAACAGTAACAAATAAATACAAATTTGTATCTTATTAGTAAAATAAATATTGTTCATCTTTCTAATGGATATCCCCATCTTATATTTTAATTCTTTGATGGCTCATATCTTTCTTTATAATTAAGATTCTCCTTCATACTGAAGAATTCCAAAACAGAATTATCAGTAAAATATGCTCCACTTTGGATAAAATAAATGGCTTAATTTTAAATAGATACATAAATGTTATAACATGTTTTTGTTGTTAGATCTGGAATTTTAAGTCCGCCTTTATGTATGTATATATGCATGTATGTGTGTGTTTATATATGTACTATTACAAGTCTGAGATGACTTAATGGCACATAACTGCAGCAACATATTATCATGCTCTGAATCTTTAGCCTAATTGAAATGTAACAATTCTGACTTAACATTCACATTTATGATCCCTCCAACTGCAAGCAGGAGCAGGTAAACAAACCATGGATTTTCTGCGTCTGGTGTGTTTATTGCTGCTTACATACTGGGAGTTCTGTCTTTCTCTTAACCAACAAGCCGGAGTTATAATCCAGTCATCATTTATGTCAGGGAAGACACAAGCCAGAGTTTCCATTTAGCACATAACAATAAATCACAGACAGAAGGCCATGGTTTGTTTAGCTGCTCCCACTTAAAATACACTGCTCCCACTGCTCCCAGGGAGCAGTCTGGCAGCATGTACCAGCATGTTGTCTCATTCACAATAAACCAGAATTCTTGAGAATTCTTATCTGTTTTGATATTTGACCGCGACCAAAGTGTAAAAACGTACTATGTATTGTTGTTAATGGCAGTAAAGATTGACGCAGGATGCTGATTTCAGTGTGCACAGAGCATTAATTCTCTAGTCCGTTCCTTCTAAGAACCTCTCATATGAGAAAATATTAAAAATGACTTCAATAGGTCAGTTACATTTTCTATCGAGAAATGAGGTTAAGACCTATTTGAATGAGTAGGTTATAACATTTTAGTTGAAGCTTTCATCCCTAAAAATTGTTGCTTTATTAACTAGCTATCCAGATATGGGTACAATTTAGATAAAACTGAGTGTACCTAAATGTAAGCCCTGCTTTCTTCAAGCCTTTGTTCATATAGAAGTGTATCAGATTAGCACTTCACTGGAAGATAGAAACTAATTCTGAAAGCCATGCATTAAATAATACAAAATTATTTGACAACTCTGAATGCAGTTTTATTAAAGATTCTTTCTGAAGATCCTAAAGAGTGATACCAGACTGACTGAAAGCTATAATTACTCATTTAGTTGTATTTCTGATCTTCTGATGTCCTTGTTCATAGATGACATCATGAATTATGTGCAAAATTTATCTGGTTTTATGTGTATTTTATCTGGTAAGGAAAATGGTTTTTCAGGATTCTCATCAGGAACTAATCTGGGGGGAAGTAAGTATTCAGCAATATGGAATTCGGCACTTGTTAAAAATTTGCCTGTGTCAGACCATCTGCATGTTGTGACTAAATGGCAAATAGCTTCTGCAGACAGGAAGGGCTACTAACTAAGCAGATTAAGACTGGTTCAGAGATAACATTAAACCAAAATTTAGTGTTACAAGAGCAAACCACAGCAGGCCTGGTGTGAGATATTTTGCCACTCGCAGCAGCAGGACTTGGGTCACCGCCACAAAACCCACTGGCACGCCGGGGGATATGCTGCGAAGGAAGCGCCAGTCTTGTGGCTTAACAAGATCGGATGAAAGGTTGGCTATGGGCTAATATCTGAGAGCTCCAAAACCCCTCAGCAACAGAGGGCTGCCAGTTGCTTTCACTGGTCACTTCCTTCCTGCAGCAAATGCCATGGCAGGAAAGCAAGTGCTGGGGCTTTCTAGCGCACCTGCTGCAGGTGGTGATGGGCTCTCTTGATTGGGATTGGTCAGCAGCACAACTGATCGCATTTCTGATCGCATTAGAGATGAAACCAGATTGTCTTTGGGTGCCACATGAGCAAGCCTTGTGACTGTGTGCATCCATATATGTGCAAGTTGCTTTCCTCATTTCCCATTCTTGGCAAACCATAGATTGCTGTTTTGACTGAACTGGGCAAACTATGGTTGATGCAAACTGTTCTTTGGCATTAGTATGTCTGAATTGGTGGTATATAAGAGATTCTAAAGAGATGGTTGCCAGTGCAGGGATTATTGTTGCATTAAGAATATATTTAGTATACAATTCCTTAGGATTGTACTTTAATATATTTATTAACTAATGAAACCTTCTTGTGTAACCTCTACAGAGCTTTATGCTAGAGCAGCCTAAAACATTTGAGTTTGGGATATAGAAGTGCATGTGTGCACATATCTGTGTATATGTGATCCACAAGTATTACTGCTCAATGGAACTTCTTGAAGCCTTATTTTCAACTTTTCAGCTTTCCCTAACTCACCCTGACCCCTCTTCCAAGTATGAATAGTATTTGCTCCTGTTGCTGAATTATTTTGTGAATGGAAATAGTAGAGTTGTGTCTTTTTTTTCCTGGTTGATATTTTTCTTTAAAAAACCCCTGTCTGTTAGAGTTGATGTTTAAATAAATGAATAGCACATTTTAAACAAAAGTTTAAAATTGTTGCAAATCATTAAGAGGGCTATCAGCTATTTGGCAGTATAGAAATAAAAAATAAACTAAACAATTACAATGTATTGGGCTATGTAGGGGGAAATGCAAATCTGGAGTTTGTGCAGATTACGTCACTGTATCTGATTCTTCATCTTCACCTGTGGAATATGTTTCATATATATATATATATGTGTATTATTTTAATTGGCTATTGTCTGCTGTGCTGCTTAGCAATTCTGATTTCTAATTCTTTTGTAAGTTACACTCATAATACAAGTCTGTCTGTCATGTTTTCCAACATGCATTCTGAAATGTGTGATGGATCTTAATGCTAAAATAGCTCCATGATCTCCATAATGGGGCCTCTTGGTTTAGTATTACAGAAATCAAGGATATAACTAAGTTACAGTTACTCTTCATCTGTTGATCATGCCAAGAAATAGTTTTCTAGCAGAGCTTATGTTTATATTTATTCTAATTTTTGTGCACACTGGAATCTGATGTTCGTCCTTTATAAATGTGGAGTTGAAAATGTCTCCCAGTAAATACACATGTATGTTTACTGAGGATTTGTATGTGCTTACATCAGCTTTGCTTCCAGAACTTTTTATTTGCGTCATTTATTTTTATTTTATTTGCCTGAGTTTTATACATCTATTTTCTCACCTGCAATATCCTAGGGGGCTTGGAGTAGCCATAATACAGTGAGCCCACCTTCCTGGTCCCCAGAAATTTCAGAAGGTCGGGAAACTTTTAAATCCAGACAGCTACCTGGCAGTGCCATATGGAGCATCAAAGTGGTAATTAATCTGTATTTATATTCCTGTGATCCTTTGCTCTCTGATGTTCTGTGCTAAAAAGATAATGTAACCTTTTAAGAAACTGAATTAATTTTCCATTTATTAAACTTGATTTTTCCCAATATATTTAGCATGTAAACTTTTTAAATTTCCCTAAATTCTCTCCCAAAACAAGGGAACTAATGGTATTATTAACTAATACTGTGATAAAACAAAACACCAGACTGGGTCGGCCTCTAATTTAGCTGGTGTTTAAGGCCCCACAGAGTAAACTTTGTGTACAATGACTGAACTAGGTGGTATGTCCTCAGTCACTATTGTCACTTGGGTGGGATTTAAGGCCAAGGATAGATGGACCCTTATGAATATGGTGTCCCAAACCTCCAGTGCTCAGATTTCTTTTTGCTAGTCATGCAGAGGGTCTTGCACATAAACACTGTATTCACTCCTGTAGAGAGAGAATCATAAGCACTTGTATTAACATAAAATCAAACTCTCTTGCTACTTTGGGGCGACTGTTAATTTATATTATTCTATGGAAGTTTATTTATGGATGTGAGCCGCCCCGAGGCTTCGGTGAATGGGGCGGCATACAAGTCTCCTAAATAAATAGATAGATAGATAGATAGATAGATAGATTTATTACATTTCCAGACATGAAGAAAGCAAATTGTATTGAAGCATTGAACCCCCCTGCACCCAAAAGTATACTAATATAGTATTGCTATAAGCAGGTTCAGACATCATGATACTGGTGTGATAAAGTGTGGTTGAGTTTTTGGCCTGTGCATTCCTACCTGCACCCCTCATGTGCTGATTTTGGCACTTTGATTATGGCTTATTTATGCTAATTTCCTGTTGTATTCAAAACAGGAAACTAGAGTATAATGTCAGTTGGCTAACCAGGGTCTAAAGAAGGACCAGACTATGGTTTTATATGTTGGTTAATAAGCCAATTGTAAGCCACAGTTGCCCATAACAACCAAGGTGAAGAAACTTTTTTTAAAGAAATCCTGATTGAACTGCTAAAGTTAATATTAATCTCAGATTTAATAAACTACAGTATATTAAGCCAGAATCATAATATCCAAACTGACTTGTGCATGTATGTTATATTTAAGTTTTGGAATGATTTTGTTTCCATATCATTTCACTATTGCATGTGAATTTGTTATTCATTGTACATTATATGATCTAAAAGACTTACCATCACAGTATCTTCATTAAGAATTTTTGTACAGCCTCTGTACAGTTAACTGAATCTCCTGCTGGTTGTTACAGTTTTTACAAATTATGAGCTATTAGTCTGATGTACTATCAGCTTGTGAACAAGATAGAAGAAGTTTCACACACACCTACAGGACCAACAGATTTGATAATGCTGTTCCCATTTTTAGTACTCAGTCAGAATGGTTTCTTTACCAATAGTAAACATGGTTTCTTTACCAATAGTAAACATAATGTTCTCTTAATTTACTTGTGCCAGTAAATGTTTTACTAATAAAATATTTTAATGTTATGAAGACTTGATACTTCTTCATCTTACTTTATAAATTTTAGAACAACTTGAAGGTGTATGCTGTGCTTTTAGTCTGTTTGTGTGTGCAAGTTCCGTTTGCAAGTTTAAACTTACTTTTTGCTTCAGTTTTGATTAGTTTTCAAGTAATCCATGCCCATTAGTCATGGATAGTAGAGACTATGATTTTGATGAAATGGCTAAGAGAAAGAGAGAGAGAGAGATCAGAACAGAGCAGGACATCAGCATGATATTTGTGCAGGCTACCATGTTCACAGTGTCCTGTCAAATAAGATCTACTACTTTTTCCTGATATTTTTCTGATAAAGCTTTGATATACTAATCTGCAAAATGGCTCAGTATTTCTAAATTATCCCTTTAGTATTTATGAATGTTAGAAAGCTTCAGTTCATAGTGTGACTTTGGGCCAGTCACTTACTTTCAGCCTAACCTACCTCACAGGGTTGTTGTTGTGAGGATAAAATGCTTCCGAAGAAAATCTTGTAAGCCACCTTGGGTTCCTTACCAAAGGAAGAAAAGTGTAATATAAATGCAATGCAATAATATTTCATTTTCAAAAAAGCAATGTGAAATGTGTTTTGTCTAAATTTCTGAATGCATTTTACATAGGGTCGTGGATCAGGGTTTCCTGGGAAGCGGAGACCACGTGGGGCAGGCCTTTCTGGAAGAGGTGGACGGGGGAGATCAAAACTGAAAAATGGAATTGGATCTGTTCTTACTCCAGGGGTAAGAATGCGTCTGTATTTATTTTTATTTATTTATTTGGGGTATTTCTAACCCTCTCAATCACTCTGCATCTCTGGATGGCTTACAGCGGATTATCTGTAGTTAGGTTAATTGTTTTCCTCTTCTACACCTATTCAAACTTAAGCAGTTTCATATTCAGAATGGGTGCAGCAGTTAGCTGTGGAGGAGACCAGTGAGAGACTGATTGGGTGTTGGAAGAGAAAGTTGGGATCAAGCAGGCACAAACAGAGGCTGTGTTTTGAGAGAAAGAAAAAATCTTTCTGCTGAGTCTCAGTGAGGAAGGTAATAGGGATAAGAGAACGTCCCACTGGCAGTGCGGACGTTCTCATGCTAGGCAAGCAATAGTATCCTCCTCAATCGTTTCCCATCCTGGTCAATTTACATAATTAAGAAGCAAAGACATAAATTTATTTTAGGAATGCGGGTTTCTTCCTTCTACTAACCTGATCACTGGTCTGTCTTAGGCCTGTTTGGTCAACAGTGACAGGCACTGCTGCTCTTGAGGGTTTCAATCCAGAGCTTTCCCAGCCCAAACTAGAGATGCCAGAAGTGCTCTGCCTGTGGTCTGCTCTTGAGCTGCACCCCTCCCTATTTTGACAGGCCACTGTAGTGTAGTAGTAAGAGTGTAAGGATAGATCTAGGGATACCGTCGTTCAAACCTCACCCATTTAAGGCCACTTACGTTAGACATGGTTTCACCGTCTCATCGGCTTCAGGCAGTTATTACAGGGGCCAAATGAGGGACAGGGCTTGTAAGGAGATAGCGTATGATTCCCCGAGTATTTCAGAGCAGAAGCAGGCTGTAAATGTAATACAAGATAGTCCAATATGTATGTCTGTATACCTTTACCATTACCTTTTTATACCACTTTTACTCTGAACTAATGTGCTCCACATTTCATAATAAGAGTTAAAGGTTGGTGGTAAATTATTGAAAAAGTCATGTCTGGGTTTTTTCCTTGTGTTTTGTAGGTCACAGATACGGACATTGCATCTAACAAAGATGAGGAGGAAAACTCAATGCACAATACTGTTGTCCTATTTTCTAGCAGTGACAAGTTTACTTTGCATCAGGTTGCAATATTCATTCATCTTTGCTGTACCCTAGCAGAATTCATTGGTTACTTTTCCATGTCTTGCACATCAAATGATAAATATGGACATTTTAAGATGTGGGAGATTAATTATTCCAATACAGTGGTTTTCATACACCAGTCTGTGGACCACCACTGGTCCACCAGCATTTCCTGCTGGTCTGGAAGAGCCGCTGTCATGCGCGCATGTCAAGACCAGCACAGGGCTAGTCCATGTAGAAAGAGTAACAGACTGCTGGTGATGCAAAGTGTAATTACTGTTATTCTTTCAGGCTGAGTTACTGTTTTCACATAAGACCAACTGATTTGTCAGTTCTTGTTATATAGTCTGTTGTTTAACTTCTAGACACGATTCAAGGTGATAGTGGCCTTTAAACTCTAGAGAATTAAAGTCGCTATAGCATTAGAGGTAAATTAAAGTAATGGGCTGGATTTGGAAAACCCTTAAAAACCAAGCAACCTCTATTTTCAAATTCTGTGTGTGTGGGAGGGGGGTAGATGTGAGGGGGAGATATGTGGACCTGTTATGAGGCAATGTGCCAGTGCCCCCTTTCTTCATGCTAGGAAGCAATAAAACCCAGACCCAGTGTGGCGAGATAAATGCCACAGTCCAGCTAAGGAAATTGATGCATGCCTGTTACTTATTGGATAAAGAACTATGGCTTAAATTAGATGCACATTAAAATGAGCCTCAAAGTGCAGATGCTGCCTGCTTCTACTCTCTTCTTTTCCGTGGAACAAAGAGATACTTAACATCCAAGTCTGGATCTTGATGTATGTCCAAATGCTTCATTGAAAGCAGTGAAGGGAGAGGGATAGTTTTGCATTTGGATTGTATATCCAAATGTGCACTTGATGTTGAGTTGACATTTATGATCCAGTAGTTGGGTTGCAGTGGCTGTCTTGAGCTGCTGCTTTCATTGTACTCCAGCACAGTGCAAGACAAAGAGCACAAACATGATTACCTCAGCAGTGGGTCAACATGTTATGTCTCTCTCTGTCCTCACTCCCCAGTGCAGAGTGAAATAACACAGAAGCAGCTGTCAGGAGCAGCAGCAAAGAGTTGTGGGAAATGGAAGGGTTTTCTTTTCACCCAAATATTCAGTCCTATTCAGCATACTTCAGGTTGTTTCTTCTGTTTTGCTTGTTCTGGTGTCAGGAAAAAAATAGGGCTTTCTTGATTGTAACTGCTCACTTTATAAGTCTGATTTTCTTTTTCAAAAGGGAGGTCAAAATCATTCTATTCATGCAAGCATGTTTAAATATTTCCCACATTTTAGTGGAAAGTTTTAATAGATTAATCAAATCAAATTCAATATTTTATTATATTTAAATGATTGCAGTTTTCTTATACATTTTCAGTTGTTTTTACACCTAAAATTTACCTTTCATCACAAACTGTTCGAGGTAGTTTTATTAGCATTACTGATGAGAAATTGCATCCAGGATTTCTCTTCTGTGAATAGAAACATTTTGCTCTGTTCACAAAAGGTGCTTCTAGCCCATTTTCAGGGATGCTTCCTGTCCCACACAAAACAGCTTCCTGTGCTTCCTGTCCCTGGCCTCACTTTAGCTTTTTCAGGGGATAGGGAAGCCAGCTTCCACATACCCAGCTGTGGATCCCTGAATCTGAATCCAACACTGTAAAATATTTGGTTGGTTTCAGCTTTAATCAAATTTAAAGTAGACACATTGAAATCAATAGGACATAAATTAGTCACAAAAACTAACTTAATACCCATTTATTTCATTTGGTCTATTACAGCTATTCCTAAATCTGATCTAACCCATTAATTATAATTGCACTGTACACACCTGAATTTCAGGAGGAATATTAAAAATGCTAGATGGGGTTAGAGGTCTATATGTTGTCCTTTTATATCTTTTATAGCTTTTTGTATGCTGAGTACTGGCTGGTTACCTAAACAAATCTGTTTGGTGTTGTAGGATATGTGTGTTGTTTGTGGGAGTTTTGGACAAGGTGCGGAAGGCCGACTACTTGCCTGTTCTCAGTGTGGTCAGTGTTATCATCCATACTGTGTCAGTATTAAGGTGAGCACTTTAAAATGATTGTAGATTTATTTATTGTACTTGTATAAACCACATGGATTCCACTTTTGACACTGTTACGTAGTGTTGTTAGCTTGTTAAATATTCCTCTATAAATGTGACCATTATTTGTATGCAGCTTGAAAAACACTTTAATTAAATGACATTTTAAAGATGCAAGAGAGGTTAACCTTTCTATAATTTTGCAGCCATAAATAGCAACCATTATTGGTTACAAGAGAAGTATTAAGCTGTGTTAGTTACTAAGCCAGGTATAAGCTCAGTATTAAGAAATGGCAGTGGGGTTTCTTGGAAAAAACATATACTACATCTTGATTTACAAAGGCAATAAAGTTCAATTAATTCAGTTTGTTCGCTGTCAAAATTGACAGCAACTGGAGTATTTAATTATTGTTTTACATTCATTAGGCTAGGAGAGAATGTGTGAAAATTAAATTTGGATAGGTATGAGTTGACTTGTGCACACATAATAGCTATTTGCTGCAACATCTAAACTCTCGTTATTATTTTATAAATGCTGTTATTTAAAAGAGGATTTTTTCCTATATACTAGACCATTTAACTTTAAATCTACAAACAGATGACAGGGATAGACATTTTTAGAAGAATGTAATTCATATAACACTGCATACATGATATGAGTAAAAGATCTTTTGTTTCAGATTAGGCTAACATAGATTACACATCCATAATGCAGTTTTTGTTTACACTATCTTTTTGGTTAATGTGCCTTTACCATTTCACCAAATGGGGGTCTCTTCATTCGTTCAAACATATCTGTAAAGGTAGTCATTTTAAACTTTATTGTTTTGATAGAATTCTTTGTTATATGTTCCAGTAGAGGATGTGGCCTAAGAATGAAAATGCCTCCAACATTGAAACGAATTTGATGTCCTGATTAGGAAGGGTACCAGTTAATTGTTTCCAAACAGATCTCAGTTTTTTCCACATACCTTGCATGGATTTGACTATCTGTGCATGAAACTATTATTCAAGCGAATTAGAGCAGGTTCACACATTACATTTTTAATAAGTGATCACATGGAAACCAGCAGTATTCTGCTTATCTAAAATTATGAAGGATTTCCCACCAGCTTTCCCTACAAGTGGGAAAGTGAAGAAATGAAGTGCTTGTCTGCTACTTGACTTTTACTAAGCTCAAGTTCTTAAGGAGAGAGTTCCACACCTCTCAAATTAACCTTTGGCATGGCAACATCCGTTCTGCAGTCCTTCCTGGTAGTGGGGGAGAGTCTGTAGCATTCTAAGTGAGCAAAGGAAGGTTGATACTCACATAATCACTTAACAGAATAATATGTAAACCAGTTCTTTACAATTTTTCATGTAATGATTAAAAGCTAATTGCAGAGGGTAGAAAGCTTAAGGCTTGTTTCTGTTGCATCCTAATATAGATCATTTTGCGATATATAAATAACTGCTTTTTACATCAGTAAAATTTATCTTAATTCTAACTTATTATAACATCATTGCATTTCTCTCCAAATGTCATGTTGGAGGAGGGAGAGAGGAATGACACATTTTAAAATGTGGGAGCAGGGAAAGACAAATAGTGACTTGCAGTTCTCCTTTGGGGTCTCTCTGCTTCACATGTATGGGCTCTGTACCTATTTGGAACCTTGTTTCAGGAAACTTCCATAGCTGAGGGTTGGTTGGTTGGTTGGTTGGTTGGTTGGTTTTGGTATGAACCCTTTCCCCACAATTTTAATACACATTTCCTTTGCTCCCATTGTGTTTGCTTCGGGAAGCTTCTCTTATCCATTGAGCTTCAACTTTTTTTGGCTGAGATTGTCTCTTTCTTCCTTCTTTAGCTTTAGTGTTGTTTTTATTTTTTATTTTTTATTTTTTTTTGAATTGAAATATTATTACTTGTTGTGAACTGCCCAGAGAACTTCTGCTCTTGGGCGTTAAAGAAATGAAATTAAATATGTCGGCCCTTTCAGGCCTTGTACTCCTGAAGGTGCCATTTGAGAAATGTCTTAGATGCTCCAGCAAATGGGCATTCTCTTGCCTAATTTGCTTGGGAGACGATCATGTAGTTGATGCTTCTGCTCACTTCTAAGCTTTCACCATGCAACCACATCACAACAGGCCTGATTGCTTCAAGCCGGAAAACCTCTAGAAGCAGTGGAAGGACTTACATCTGTGGTACAAGAAGACTGTTCAACAATTCTGCCTTCCACTTCTCTGACAGTATTTACTTTAGGGACAGTATTTTCTCCTTGTGCTTTAGCCATGGACTAATCTGATTCCTCCACATTAATATGTATCTTAATATTCTTGGTTGCTAAAAAGCTTATTAAGAAGGCAAAGACCTCAAAGTCTTCTGAACTCTAGAAGAAGCATTTGCAGACGCATCTTTCCCCTTGAGGCCAATGCACATAATTCCTTAGCCATGGGAACTGAGAGGCTGAGACCCTGTATCAGAAGGATTGATTTGAAATGCTTTGCTGGGCCATGTAGCCAAGCAGCATATTTTGCCGCTTGGTCATGATCTAGGATCGCCAGAAAGGCTTTGTAACATCGTTCAGGTGAGGAAACTGGACATAGACTGTACTCGCAGAGGCTCACACCCAGTTATCTTTCTCTGACTGGGGACAACACTCTGAGTAGTCTTTACCACTCAGCCACCTTTTCTACCCTGAGGACTGGAATTGTGGCCTTTTCTACCCTTTGGAACAAGAAGACTTTCCATTTGATGGGCAGGGCCTCTTTTGTTCTAAAACAGATGAGACAGTAGGCCTCATCCAGATGGTTAGGAGGATGGCTATCAATCAGTATCCACTTATTACCAGCAAAAACCATCTGTAGTCTCAACAGCCTTCATTTTTCTAGTCATACTCCTAGCCAAACCATACATATTTCCAGCAGGCATCCTCAGTACCAAACCTCAAACACCTTGATACTGTTCTGATGATAAAAAGCTTGATGCCACTGATAAATGGCATGTGTGACTGTTCCTCCTGCTTTGTGCGTTCTCCTCAGGCCTTCATCCTTAATCCTGATCTATCCTCTTCCTTCTTATCTGGGAGTCTATAACATCTGACTCCTGGGTTCTAACTGTTGTCCAGACTATAGAATAATATTCAGTGGCCTGCCACCAAGTTGGAATCAGAAGTGGATTCCCTTCGTAATAGGGAGATAATTCTACCTGCACCATCCCACAAGCTACGCGAGGGCTTTCTACTCCAGATAATTCATTTGGGTGTCTTTATCAACACTGAGAAATCTGTTCTTATCCCTTCATAGATGATAAGAACATAGATGACATTGAAGCTTGGTTCAGTTCCACAGTGGGGCAAGCTTTCCTGAATTTATGTGAGGCTAGTCTGTTGTCTCACAGGCTTTGGCAGAGAAAGCCTTTCAACTGCTCGCTACATTTGATTTCTGTTTGTTGACTTGGAAAATGGCCTTTCCCATTGCTATCACTTCAGCACATAGAGCAAGTGAGATTGGTGCTCTCACCTCAAATGATTTTTCATAAAGATAAGGCAGTGATCCATCCAGATGTTTCTTTCTTCCCGAAGATAGTGTCAAGCTTTCCAGTTTAATCAAAGTAGTGTTGTTAATTGCGAAGTCATGTCCAACCCATTGCGACCCCATGGACAACTTTCCTCCGGGCCTTTCTGTCCTCCACCATCCCCCAGAGTCCACTTAGGCTCACGCCAACTGCTTCAGTGACTCCATCCAGCCACCTCATCCTCTGCTGTCTCCTCCTTCTTTTGCCATCTATTGTTCCCAGCATTAGGCTCTTCTCCAGGGAGTCCTTCCTTCTCATTAGGTGGCCAAAGTATTTGAGTTTCATCTTCAGTATCTGGCCTTCTAAAGAGCAGTCAGGGTTGATCTCCTCTAGGACTGACCGGTTTGATCGCCTTGCGGTCCAAGGGACTCGCAGGAGTCTCCTCCAGCACCACCATTCAAAGTATTATACTACCTAAATTCTTCTCTGCATCAACTGCACTGCTCAAATCACACTGCATATGCTTGATTTCAGGTGGGCCCTTGATTTCTACAGGTCCTGCACTGAATCTTTGCATAGATTGCGGCAAAGTTGTGTGGAACAGGGGCAGGAAAAGAATAATGCCTGCCTGCACTCAGTGCTTGGTGGGATGGGTGGTCCATATCATTATGTTGGTTTACCAGTACGTAGGATTGGAACTTCTGAGTCCCTTCCTCCTGGGCTCAATGTACTTGCAGAATTGCAGTATCAATTGCATTTTGGGTCAAGCATTACATTACTGGGGTTGCATCAGGCAGCAGCCTGGTTGGGGGAGTCTACATTTATCTGGCGTTACAAACTGAGCGTAGTGCAAGAGTCAACTGCTCTTGGAAGAACAGCACTTTCTCCTATGCTATGTTAAGGAAGCCTACACTGCTTCAGGGAGTCAGTTTGCCTGTTGCCCATATATGTGTTGCACAGTGACCAGAAAGAAGAAAGGCAAGTTGCTTAGCAGTAGCTGAAACCCCTCCACCCACCATTCCCTCATGGGGGTCCAAGATAGTACAGGTGGGTACACACTGTCAGTGTCTATATTGAAGTTGATACTATGCATACTAGAACAGTGGAGGAAAGGTTCTGGCCAGCAATTCCTCAGCTGTGGAAGTTTACTAAACTGAGGCTCCATGCAGGTGCAGAGCCCCTATATGTGAACTATTATTATATTTTAATAATAAATATTATTATATATAGTCTTTTATAAATGCACAGATTATCACTTTAAGAACTACAGTTGCTGGTAAGCAAACGTCTTTTTCCCAGATTTCAGAACTAGGTTGTGTTTCATTTTCAGTGTGTGAATCTGGATTTGAGGAGTATGCCTCTTCCTTTTCCTTAAATTTGTTTTTTTCCCTTCTCAAACAGAATTTTGGGGGAGCAGGGGGTGCTTTGTTACTAAATTTAGGAGTTGGAGGATATACAAGATTATGCAAAATCTGCAAGAAGATTTTTAGTGTCCAAATATAGAAAGCCCTTCTCCCTAAAAAAAAGTTCTGACAGATACAAACAGTCATAAGAAATGTATAAAAACAGCTGGGCATCTGTGAGTCCTCTGTACAATTTGCTGTCTTCTTCTATGCAGATTACAAAAGTGGTGCTCCACAAAGGTTGGCGGTGTCTGGAGTGTACAGTGTGCGAAGCCTGCGGGAAGGCTACAGATCCAGGAAGGCTGCTTCTCTGTGATGACTGCGACATCAGCTATCACACTTACTGCCTCGATCCACCACTGCAGACAGTTCCCAAAGGAGGCTGGAAGTGCAAATGGTGTGTGTGGCTCCGCTCTTTATGGTGTTCACCATTAATGTTTTTTCACCTGATTGTATTTTAAGTATACATTTCGCATAATCAGTGCAACCAGGGAAATGTCTCAAACGGTGTGTAAAAATAAAGCAAATCTCCATATTTTACTTTAATTAATTCAGGATGAAAATTGTTTTTATGTGCTAGAACTGGCACATTGTGCTGGAAAAAATGAAGTACTTTAAAGGAGTGAAGCAGCATATCTTGATAGGAGCCAAATGAAGAACCCAATTTAGAGATGGACCCTGACATGATGCTAAACCTCTCCAGAATTTTAGTTCTAGGGTTCTCAGCATACCTGCTAAGGCCACTAGATACGGAGTGACTCAAAACTTCTTGGCTGTTATGATAATCATGGGTCTCTTTGAACAACTGGCAATACGTATCACCAGATACACGCTAGATACTGTTTTCTTAGCCAGGCAGGTGGATGGTGATCAACCCCTTATCCTGGATAAGTGCCGTATTTTTCACTCTATAAGACGCACCTGACCATAAGATGCACCTAGTTTTTAGAGGAGGGATCCATGGAAAGCTTCCTGATAATCACAGGCACATTCGCCATCACTTCCCCATGGGCTTCATTAAAAGACAGGTTGCTATTTGAAAACACACACTGACCTGTGATTAACAGCTCTCACCTGCGCTGGAGTGGGGGGGCGGAGCAGGGCGCGCTGAGCGTGTGCCGGCCAGGTGTGGTGCAGCCGGGTCGGCCGCGTGCCAGCGGTGGTCTTCCAGGCAGCGCAGTGGTGGCGGCGGCAGGTCTTCCCGGGCAGTGGGGGTGAGCAGTCTGTCTCTCCGTGCGGCCGGTGGGTTAAAGCCTGCGGCTCTTCCTCCTCCGCACCACTCCCCCTGAGCGGCACAGCTCTCACCTGCGCCGGAGGGGGTGGGTGGAGCGATGCGTGCCGAGCGCATGCCGGCCAGGTGGTGCCACGTGGTGCAGGCGGGCTGGCAGCATCCTGGGCGTCGGGCACACACACATTCACTCTATAAGACGCACCGACATTCTCCTTACTTTTGAGGGGGAAAAAAGTGCATCTTATAGAGCGAAAAATATGGTAGCTTCTTGTTGAAATGTAGACTTGTAGTGGCCTTCCCACTGTGCAAAGCTGGAAGTCCCATTAAAATGGTCAGCGAGTGGAGGCTAATACATTCTAATGAATTCTAGTGGACTTGGGGGAAATTTCTTGCTAGTTTGGCTGGTACTCCTGTGGAAGCCCTGGTTGATCTGTGGGGTGTGGAAATGACCTAGGCAGTTAACATGATCATGTTGAAGTGTTCTCTCTGTTTATAGAGAAACTGTGTGATCTTGGTACATACCAGAGCTAAGGGTAATGAAGCAAGATGAGCAATTAGAAAATTATTGAGGCTATTCTGAGGCATTGGTGGTAGCAAAAAAAAAAAAAGGTTTTCTATAACCACTGCAGTATCTTGGCCTCATCTAGCTCTTCTTTTCTGAGTGGTTAGGGGCCTGTTGCAATTCAGCATTTTGTTTCAGATATTTGGTTCAAGTCTTAATAGCACACTATGATAACTTTGCAAGACATTTGAAGGTAAGTTGCTTGCATCAGCCGTAATTTGGACTTAACATTGAATACAATTCTTCTGTAATGGAGGTATCCAGAACTCTATTTGTTAATGTTTTTATTGGAGGAGTTTTATTGGAGGATTTCCAGTTACTTGGGCCTGAGGATATCACCACTTAAGCCAAGTGAAACTGATTTTTAGATGTATTTCAATCAGGCTTTATTTTGGAACAGAAACTGCCTTGGATACCCTGTGGGATGATGCATGCTGCAAGAGGCACAAGAAGTATTGGGAATAGGGTTGTATTTTTCAGCAGCTTCTAATATTATTGACCACAGTAACTTTCTGGATAGGTGTTCTGGGTTCAGGCCTGGCAGTACTATAGAATAATTCTGCTGTCTGGATGGTCAGTCACAGAAAATGGTGCTGTGGGATTATTTTACGTGGGAGGTATGCTGTGGGTTCTGTTGTATCCTCTATGCTGTTCTTATCTGTCTGAAACCTCTAGGAGAGGTAATTCAGCAAGGTGGACCAGGATGTCATTAATATGCAGGTGATGCCCAGATCTGCTTCTTTCCATTTCATCTAATTCCAGTAAGGCAATGGATATTCTGAATTGGTAATGGACTGGATGAGGACCAGTCAACTAAGACATAATTGAGCAATAGTTAACTGATGATGGTTTGACTGGCCACTTAGTTGAGTAGTATTCAACCTTGTTTGAATTGTGTTGCATGCCGCCTAATGAATCTGGTTTGTAGTTTTGGGGTGTGACTTAGAGCACTTGCTGCCAGTCTGTTTCAGGGCCTAGTTCAAAATGGCAGCATTAACCTTTAAAGCTCCAATCATCTTGGGCTAGATTTCTTGAAGAAACTTAAAAAAGATAAAGGTTTCCCCATGACATTAAAGTCCAGTCATGTCTGACTCTTGGGCCTAAAACGCAATGTGATGCCCTGTCCAAGTTCTCTGCCAGGTGAGGTGAGGTGAGGTGAGGTGAGGTGAGAAGGCCTTTTCAGTGGTGACAGTCCAGTTGTGGATTGCCTCTCACCTATTTCAGGAATAAGTAAATGCATATCTGTTCTCTACTGTCCTGGGCTTTAAAAAAAAGTTGTGATTTTTAGATCCTTGTGTTGCTGTTGCCCTCTGCTGTTGATTTTGTCTGGTTTATATTGTGCTTTATACTTGTATTTTATGTTTTTTCTCAGCTCAGTCAAAGATCTTTCATTATTGAGCAATGTGGGAATGTAATAAATACATTCTATATCATTCTTGTGTTTTACAGGTGTGTTTGGTGCAGACACTGTGGAGCTACTTCTCCTGGTTTGAGATGTGAATGGCAAAATAATTATACACAGTGTGCACCTTGTGCAAGTTTATCTACCTGTCCAATCTGCTGTTGCAATTACAGCGAGGAAGAGCTCATTCTGCAATGCAGGCAGTGTGACAGGTCAGCTTTTCTGCTAATATTTTGTTTCCATCTTTCAATCACCTGTTCATAGTGTAGTATAGCAAGGATATTGGTTTAATTTACCAAAATGAGTCTTCAAATTTAGTTCCTTTTTTCTTTACTGGAGTTGCTCTCCTGTAAAATATGTATTGCCTGATGGAAAGAGATTCTTTGAAGAAGAAAGGCATAGCTAATATACCAGACACACCCTCCCACCATTATTTTTGTGGTTAGCTCCACTGGTTTGAGTCTCAGCTGTTGGGTCTTACAGCTGAGACCCAAACCTAAGCTGGCTTCTTCAGGAGTAGTTGTACCACTGCAACTTTGAAAGAAGTAGACCCATTTAATGGTCCTTTTTGCTTGTCTGAATCCTATATGGTATAAACTAATAATGGTCTAGCTAGCCATTTCCCCCTATTCAATTTAACTTTCAGATGGATGCACACAGTTTGTCAAAACTTAAACACAGAAGAAGAAGTGGAAAGCACAGCCGACTGTGGTTTTGACTGTACCATGTGTAGGCCATATATATCACAAGCAAATGGTAAGACATTTCTTAATGGGGTTTCTAGCAGCATTGCGATAGCCTTTTTTTTCTTTTTAAACATTTTGGTCTGTCTCCTGGCAGCAAATGCAGAATTAATTGCAGAGACTGCTTAAGAGAAATCATGTTGTGCCTTTGTCTTGCTTTTTACCACTGTAATGATAAAATTAGTAATGGGAACCAAAATAATTTTAAAAGAAAGCTGGATAAATATGTTGTTCCGAGTGTATTTATGTCTCCATAAATACACAGTGTAGGAAAGGTGAGTGTGTGTCTATGCATGAGACAGAAAGTGAGTGTCAGAGAGTGGGGGTGGGTAGAAAGAGTATAGTCCAGGTATCATGATTTCGAGATGAAAGGATTTATTCTTTCAAGATAATGTTACCAATGTTTTGTTACCCGTATTGCATAGACTTCCCTTAACTCAAGTCTTAGTGTAGCCTTTCCACTAAAAGTGTATTTTTACCCTAACCGGTGATGATGACAGGCAGTGTTAATGCAGTCATCTACATACTATGTCCTGTAGCTTTCCCATTATGCAAAATAGCACTGTACCTGTGGGGTGGATCACACAGCTTTGCTCACTAAAAGCGTATGGCCATGGGGAACAAATGCACACATCATTCAAAACAGTCCCGTGAGTAGTCCATGCAGAGCATCTTCAAATTGCCAGAGCTCTCTCAGGACAACTGTGGGAGAGGAAAATAGCTGGGCAAGCTGGACTGGTAGTGCAGACCCCCATACACATCTTGAGCTCTGTTGCCTTATTTATTTATTCATTTATTTAGGGAACTTCTATGCCGCCCCATTCTCCGAAGCCTCGGGGCAGCTCACAAACATAAATAAATAACATCATATAAAACAATGTAACTTAACAGTATAAATTAAGTTGCCCTGACCAAAGAATAAAATAAATAAATAATATTGACAGTTAAAATAACGTTTAAATAAAAAGGTCTTCACCTGGCGCTGAAAGACAAATAACGACGGCGCCAGGCAGACCTCTCTGGGGAGCGCATTCCATAGATTGGGCACCACCGCTGAGAAGGCCCTCCTCCGGGTACTCTGTCTCTTTATATCTTTCACGGAGGGTTCCTGGAGAAGGGCCTCTCCCACAGATCTCAAGGGGCGGGCGGGCATATATGGACGCAAGTGCTCCTTCAGGTAACCAGGACCCAAGCCATTAAGAGCTTTATAGGTCATCACCAACACCTTGAATTGGGCCCGGACTTCAATGGGAAGCCAGTGAAGCTGACGGAGAACTGGAGTCATGTGAACATAACGCCCAGTCCCCGTCAGCAGCCTGGCAGCTCTATTTTGAACCAATTGAAGTATCTGGATCGTCTTCAAGGGCAGCCCCACGTAGAGCGTGTTACAGAAGTCAAGTCGGGAAGTCACCAACCCGTGTGTCACTGTCGCCAGGCAGTCGTACTCCAGGTAGGGGCGCAGCTGATGGATCAGCTGAAGCTGAAAGAAAGCGCTCCTCGCCACCGCTGCCACCTGAGCTTCCAGTGAAAGCTCTGGGTTGAGGAGCACTCCCAAACTGGGGACCTTGTCCGTAAGAGGGAGTGCAACCCCATTCAGGACTAGGTTCAATTCACCTTCCCCAAAGCCCGATCCACCAACTAACAGGACCTCCGTCCTCCCCAAGGAATAGATAGTCTGCTGCCACTGATGCCTAGTTCAAGAATCTCTAGGCTGAATGGACTAGCAGCAGCACTTGGGTTTCTCCGAGAGAGACTTCTGAACAGGCAACATTGGTGCTATTGCCACATCTCCAACTCTGATCATGCTGGCCTTGATAATGCCTGGGTCCATCTGTACATCGTTTCCTTGGAGATAGCTCACAGAGGAACCTGGCAGTATTATAAGGGGAAGAACATTACCATCCTCTTTATTCACTGCAACTAATCCTCCCCTTCTCCATATCCTCATAGCCTTGATATCTAGCAGCCTCAAAGGAAGGATAGCCATGATCTGTGGTTTTCCACAACCATGTGTAGCCTCCAATACATTTTCTTTATTTTTAACTTAATGCAATAAAGCAATATTGTTGTTGGAAGTGAGTCATGCAGAATTTCCATTTTTCCTCCATGTGCAATGTGCACAGTTCAAGAAAAGGCATTATAAAATCTCATTTAAGAACTGTGTGATACATACTGCAAACTTAAATACCCTTACTTCGGTGTAAGCTTTCTTGATAATTGGGGGAATCACTGTTCCAAGTACACATGCACAGGACTGGGCTTACATTCCATTGTTTACAGTGAAGATTGTGGACATAATTTCATTTCATGGTTATGCTTACTGCTTCCAAAAGATACTTTTCATTGTCATTGTTATGATATACATTTATTATTTTTTTAAATTGCAATTGGGCTTCCAAGGAAGAAAGGGCTCCATTTGGCTGGGATCCTGACCTATATATACCACAGCTAATTCCAGTCCAGAGTTCCCTGATGCCCTGGGCAGCTTGTGGGCTAGAGTGGGAAAGAGGGCATAGAGGTCTGCTCCTGCCAGCCTAGTTGTATGAACCTAAATTGCTGTTTTCCTGGTACCAGCATACACAAGGTGGATCAGACTCATATGTTCAGAATAAGAAATGCAGTTTTGTTACCCCTGCAGAAACAAGCACGAGTGAAGAGTTGCAGAAGAATATCAAGGGTATTAGTGTGAAAAAGAGAAGCTATAAAGGATATGCCAGTAAATGATTAATATGCCGATACAGATTAATTTCAATGTTTAGTTCCCAATAGATTTTTTAAATTATTTTTCAGTGACTTCCTCTGAAAGCTGTGAATCATCCGTTGCAGCCCAAATTATAACAAAAGCTAAAGAACTTGGTAACTTTTAAAATTCTTGATTCCTTTCATCTAACATGCTTTCTGCTTTGATAGTTCACTATTTTATCTAGAACTGTGGCTGTAGAATATATCATCAATAGCTCTATCTTACCGTTTTATCTTTTGTCATCCCAGTCCCTCTTACTACCTGCTTTATTTTAAATTTGATTTTTTCTTTCAAGGTTTAAATTTGAAAATAAACTTGCAAATGTGCTTTGAAATCAATCAAACAGCTTTTATCTTTAAATACCACCTTAAGTGAACTGAAACAGTCCTCAAAATTACAGAATGTCAAGATGAGATGTTTTGTGAACCCCCCCTAGCTACAGTTTCAGAATGCGAGAGTATGATTTGACTAAAATTAAGGCTATTCAAGGGGCAGTACTTTGCTTCTATATTTTATTAATTCTCTGTACATTTGTCCTATAATTCAAGCATTTCAACAGTTTATAATGCAGCTTTTCTGTTTTAATCCTTGGACTCAGTTTGAATAGAACCTATGTAGGGGCATATGAATGATATGAGAAATATAATAATCATTCACAGCAGGTACTTAGAAAAACAAAAAGAGAAAATGTTTTTTGTTATCAAACAGGAAAAACTCAACTCTAAATGGAAAAGCTGTGCCTTTTTCTCAAGCAACTTCAGTTTACTTCTTAAATTGTTATACTGCCCTTTCACTTGCTCTGGTGTTAGATTGGCATGTAGCAGGTTAATTGCAAATTCCTTCAGGTTGGGAACAAAAAAGAGTCCTACACAGTGCTTGTAAGCAAAATTATTAAAGTTATGTATTCCTGTTATGGTTCATGCAAATTTCATAGACCCACCGAAGACATACACTCAGGATGGAGTCTGTTTGACAGAAACGGGGATGTCTCAGTTACAGAGCCTCAGTCCGGTTGTACCAAGAAGAAAACGGACAAAGCCAAAGCTCAAGTTGAAGATTATAAACCAGAATAGTGTGGCTGTGCTCCAAACACCACCTGACATCCAGTCAGAACATTCAAGGGATGGTGAGATGGATGACAGTAGAGGTGATTGTTGTTCTGTGTATATGTTCCTGTTAACAATAGAAACAATTTATAAAGGGGCATTAGTTGCAGGCAATGTCAAAGTTATTAGAATTCTCAGTAGTCTACACCCTCTGGCATGGAACTCAATGAGATCTTGTCCTGAAATAAGATTTCTAGCTCCGCAGAATGCTGAGCTACCTCATACGTTCCAAAATATTTATTTTGTATTGATGTCCTATCTCTTCCAGAGCTTGAAGTGCTAAGTCAGTCTCTGCTTGTTGGAACACTTGTTTCTGTATCGGAACATAAAAATAACCATGCTGGATCACAACAGTGGCCCATCCAGTCCGGCATTCTGGTCACACAATGGCCGACCAACTGCCCCTGGAAAACCCTAGCTGGATATGCATGCAGTAGCATCGCTCTGCTCATGTTCCACAGCAACTAGTGTATTTAAGCATACTGCCACTGATACTTGACGTATACTCGCTGCCTCTCCTACTAGAGACAGCATAGAGCCATCAGGACTAAGTGCTGCTGGTAGCCTTATTCTCCATGAATTTGTCCAGCCACCTTTTAAAGCCATCCAAATTAGTGGGCATCACTACATCTTGTAGAAGTGCATTCCAGAGTGTATTTGCTGCATGAGGGACTACTTCCTTTGGCTTGTCTCACCAGTCAGCTTCGTGGGATGAACTTTGGTTCAGGTATTATCAGGAAGGGGAGAAAAATGTCTCCTTGTTCTACTTTCTCAACATTGTGCATCATTTTATGCACCTCTGGCACGTCTTGCCTTTTTCCTAGACTAAGCATCTTGGCTGGTGTAGCCTTTTTCATGGTGGGGTTGCCCCAGCCCCTTGATCATTCATTTAGTTGCCCATTTCTGCACTTTTTCCAGCTATAAAATATTTTTAGGTCTGGCAACCAGAACTGTACACAATACATTCACACCATGAATGTGCAAACTATGTTCTTGTGTTCAGGGAGTAAGCAAGATAGAAAAGTTAGGGAGAGAGAGGAATTACTCTGATGCCCTGGCTTTATCATGTCAGTGAACAGCTTCTGTCAGTGTGTTAGAATTGGGCCCCGAATTAGTATGTTTTGTGGAATACAGAAAAGCACCACATGAGTAACACTGGGGACTTTAGGTAACGGAGTACCATTTTAGGGTTCCTGGAAGAAAGTAACAGAAACAGGACCAGAGCTGTGCAGTTTTGAGTTTGTCAAGCCAGTCAGTCAATTAGAAACTGCCACACTTGTCCCTACTTAATCTCTCCTAAATTAGGATGCACGATTTCATCCATCTATCATTTACTCACCTGAGAGTAGGTAGATAGTCAAGTCTCCAGTGTCGATTGGTTAGCCATTCACATGTCCTGACCTCTCTCTGTATTGGATTTGTTAAGGTATAACCAAACAGACTAGCCTGTGTAGAGAGACGAAGAATTACCCCCGCCCGCCCCCCTGCCACTGCCATGTTTGATCAGAAAATAACCATGCATTTCCAAATTAAGGGGGGGAAAGGAAGGGAATGCAAAGTAGACACTAAAGAAAACAAGATTAAAGTTTGCTGGTTTGCACTAAACTCCTGGCAATAGATTGCTTAGATGTGGGAGGCATGCAAAGAGCATCTGGAGTTAGTAAAGAGAACCAGCTGAAGTTCCATACGACTCAAACAAAAGATCCTGTGCCTCAGTTGTTCTCCTTGGCTTAGGGAGAGACTGATGTAGCCACCCACTTAATACTCCAGTCAACTGCAGAATATGTAGACAAGATACTCATTATCAACTTTTAGACCAAGAAATAAAGCTAGGAAAATGCTGCCCAATGGGAAAATGCCCTGCCGGCTTCAACAAACAGAATTCAGCAAAGTCTTCTCTTTTAAGGAGTTGGAGGCTCAGAATATATATGCATTGCTTAGGAAACCTGACCAGAAATGCCTGCCCTAGTCATAAATGCTATAGTTACAGGAAAATGAATGCTGAGCAGTGGTTCAGCAGCACAAGGATGTTTCCAATAGAGGAATGTTTCACTGATGAGAAAGCAAAATAAAATGTAAACTCAAGGAAGGCTTTCCAAGGGTGAGGGGAAATAAGTGAGGTGTAGGTAACTGCACAGTGATGCTTCAGTGTTCAGATGGAAAAGTGCGGGGTGGGACTCAGAGCTGGAAAGGGCAGAGGCAGAGTGAGAAAGAAAAAGTATGTTATTGAGATACTGATTATTACTCTAGGATATGTTAGAATCGTGTCAGAGCAGGGGGCAGGTTTCATAGCAAGAAAGTAAATCCAAAAGTGGAACTCAAAGCTGTCATTCTGGGACCACAGCACAGCTTTACTGAGCTAGACTGGAGGACAGGGTGGTATGATGAAGCACCTAAAAGGTTTCCAGGAACAGGTTGAGAAAATGACTGCCTGCTGAAGTATTTCCAAAGAGCAGTATCAACACCAGGAAATGGAAGTGCAGTGAGTGTTAGGTTCTTCCAAGTAGAGAGTGCTCATGGACCCTGTGGAGGCAAGTAGAGACTTTCCCAAAGAAAAGAGAATGAAAAAGAAAACTGTGGTCAGGATCTAAGGCCAGTAATAGTTTTAGAAGACAAACCAGCATGGCAGCGAGTGGGCATTGTCCAGGTGAACAAAAGGGAAGAATAATACATGCACTTCTCTAAATAAAGCAGTACTCGATGCAAAACGTTTCAGTGCTAGTTGGTCAGTGAGTGACAAGGAGTTTTCTTTGGGGCATTAGCATATGGGGGGCTTTTGTGTGTCCAAATGTTTCTTCTCTTTTCCATGGCAGTAGAGGATGGTGATTGCCCAATAAACATAATCAATTATAGATAAGCAGCATTTGCCAGATAGCAGTTGCAGGCAAGATGGGGTTTCAGAGACAAATGAGAGGTGTGGGAACATGATGGAGGTGAGCTAGGCACTCTCTGGAAACATTACGCAGACAAGCCAATTCCTGCAGGCTCGAGCAAGGACTCATGGGATTGCTTTGGGAAAAATTCTGAGTATTTGTTTCATTTTTCTCAGTGGAAAATGGAAATAATTGTGGTCTGTCTTATGATGGGTGCTTGTGTGAATGTATTTGACAGGGGCATAAAGTGTTGTAATACTGCTGTGGATCAATTTTACTTAGAAGAGATCATTCAGGGGAATACAGCTTAGATGAGCCGATTACTATTGTATTGCAGATATGTCTGTCTCATGTCTCCCAGTGAGCCCTTTTAATGTTTGAGAGAAAGATACATGTCTGTAAATATTTGGTGGACAACTACAAGTCTTCACCCTAAATGCCAGTAAACTATTGTACAATATTATAATAAATCTAGAGTTGAAGAAAGAATTGATGACAAGCCATAAAATACGCTAGGCATGCATCTGTTTACATGGGAAATAGAAATATCTTATCCAATATTTCCTCCATTAAATGTAGCAAATGTCAGAAGTGTGGTGTTATTGATAGGAATTATTCAGATGTGGTGATTCAAGTGCAATCTTGCATTAAGTTGCTAAATGAATGTATATATGAATCTGCTTTTCACTCAGACCCTTGGTTCATGTGTCCAGCAGTGTCTCCTCTGCTTGGCAGTGGTGTTCCTAGGTTCCCAAATGTCTTTAAACTGGAAATGCTAGAGACCTCTTCTGTGCAAAACATCTGCTTTACCACCTGTCTTCCCTTATTGATAAAAAAATTATAGCAGTCATTTCTCTGCCATTCCTTGATGATAATGTACTAGTGTCTCAAACAGCTATTGATTTTCCCCTCTTGTATTTTTGTTTGCATATTTATACTTCAGAGTGCACTAGTGCTGTCTCCAACTCTTGAAAGCGATGTCTTTTTCTAGTACCTGTTTGCTTTTTATGGTTTGCCATGCAAAAGCTGTAAGAAGAGAGAATTGCTCTTGTTAAAACTCACTGAATGAAGGGGGAAATGTGGTTGAGTTTATCAAAGTATAATAGCCAATCTAGCAGTCTGTGTTTATGCTTAATTTTCTTTTGGGCCTGGGCCAGATTAAAGTAATGGGTTAAGGGGACAAGGGATGGAAATGTATATGATTCCAGCATAATTTAATTGAAGAGGCCACATTAGCAGAAAGATAATAAAAAATGGAATTGTGTCACTAATTGGCAGAAGCAATTAAACAATACATTATGAGAGTGGAAAATACCTCATGATTCCTCTTCATGTTCACCCAAGAAATAGTTAGCAATGAGTTTGCATCTCCATAGTATAGGGAAAGAAAACCGAAACCACCTCAGTATCCCACAACTCTTACTTGAAAAGGGATTTTAGATTTTCAAGATGGTGACATTACATAATAGAGATGGGGAAGTCACATATTTTATCCATTGTGAGGAACAGTGATTGGATAATACAACATTGACAATGAAATAATAGAAACAAGTAGCTTCATCTAACTTACATTTATAATGCCCCGTTATATAGATACTGCTCTTTTGTCATTCATGGGCATGATGAGACTTTCAGGTTATCTATAGAATTTAGAATGAAGCTGTATTAGGTGCTTGTAGCATTCCTGTAAATTAGGGTGCCTGTCCATGTGTATTTTTTTGGCTTGTATATCTTTTGTTAAATTCTGCTTGCATGCAAGTTACTATATTTGAAAAAATGGGACCTGATTATAGCTAGTAATATCCAGGCTAGACTATTGCAATGCAATTTATGTGGGGATTGTCTTTCAAGATTGTACAGAAAAAAATTCTTAAAATGAAACAAAACCAGAAGAAGGCCGATAACTGATATGTATAAAAGAGAATGTATCCTGCCAGTGCTTAAAGAACTGCACTGGCTACTAGTTTGTTTCTGGACCCGATTAAAATTACTGGTTTGGTTTTTTAAGAACTAAAGTACATGTTCTATGGTAACTGAAGGACTACCTGGCCTTGTATCATAGAATCAAGAATAGTACAGTTGGAAGGGGCCATGAAGGCCATTGAGTCCAACCACCTGCTGTTGCAGGACAGAGTTTGAGTTTGCCTAACCAACTGAGACCTCATTTGGAAGCTCTGCTTAGTATTCCTCCATCATTTCAGGTGCAGTTGGGCAACAATGTGGGACAGGGTTCTTTTTCTTGTAGTACTGGAACTCCCTAGACCTGACCATTTGTGGAACATGCTTCCCAATGAAGATTTTTCTGTAGGGCTAAATGGTATTTGATTTTAGATTTTGTTAGTCTCCTTTTACTACTTTAGAGGGTTTTCATTTCTGTTAAATTTGTATGTGATTTTAAATATGCTTATTTTTTTTTTTTTTTTTAGAAAAGTCATTCACTTCCTTTGGTTATCTTCTGCTTGAGAGATGGGGTCAAAATGTATAAGATACAATGATAATTGCAGTGTAGTTTGATTGTAATTTTGTTTTTGTTGTTGTTTTTAATCAGAAGGAGATCTCATGGATTGTGAAGTAAAATCAGACACAAGCCCTGAAAGGGAACCTCCAGATGATGATCCTAAGGGGGCAGAAGGAAATGAGGGGATAAAAAAGAGAAAAAGAAAGCCTTACAGACCTGGTAAAATACATGTTCCAAATGTTTGCATATCCATTATATGTGTTGATTTTATGTAAATTTTTAGGGAGCAATCTTATGATCCCTAGACAGTCTCTCTTTCATGTTCCCAGCTCCAAAGTTGGAGACATTGCTTCGACCACAGAACTGGCAATTGGATTTCCAACTCCCAAATGGTCCTAACCTTTTCTATGCCCTGCACCCTAGAAAATGATTTATGTTCACATCCCCTACCAAAGAAATGTCACATTTGAAGATGAAAAAGTTACATTTCCAATTTTTGAACCACAAATTGAACCACATAGAGTACTGTGGATGAACAAATTGAACTAAAAAAATATAAGCTTTTAACTTGGTGCAAAACATTCAAATATATATTGAACAATTAGAAAATTTTTAAACAGTGAAATCAATTCCAGTTGGGAACATAAAATTCAATGACTTTTTGTTCCTGCTTCTTATTCACAATTTTGTCAAAATATGGAACTTTGCTGTGCATTAAGGGGATTCTCAGATTTTGTCTTGATTGACGAAAGATAACTGAATCCAAATGCAAGCAAAATAATCATAAATAATTGTATTATTGGGATAATTTTGGCAAAAAAAAAAACCTTCAAGATATGCCAGTTTTGGTGAATTGCAACACAGTCTTCCTCTCTGTCATCCCCCCCCCCCCCCCCCCGGAGGTGCAAGCATCTCAGGTTGAGATCCTTTGGGCTAAATGGATACAAGCTGCTAGTGCAGGCTGCTGAAAGCGTTCTGGAAAGATCTATGTCTTGCTGGCACGACTAATGGGTATCCTACCATATGGCTATTATAACCAACTATGGGTAAAGAACTATATTAGGTCCCTGAGTTCTCTTAGGGAAGCATTGGTAATAACTATTCCAGCACCCCACATTGAATATATCCAGGAAGCGGTGTGATACTTCATCAAAAATGTAGCTGGCTCTTGTTGATAAATGTTAGAGGGTTAATTGGAGTGTTAGTATTAGTGTAGTTGGTGATAGTTTTTATTTATTTCTCTAGACACAAACTGAGGAATGTTCCAAAACCAGGAAATTTCCTTCCTGTGATAACAGAAAGCTGAGAAAGCCACTTGAGATAAAGGGTTCCCTGCTCCATCTGCTCCTCCCCCTGACTAAGAAGCAGCCTTGAACTGCTTTCTCTGTCCAGTTGTTGTTCCTGTTCCCCTCTTTTCTTTTTTTTCCTGGTTTTTTCTCTCTCCTTTCCCCTTACTTCATAGACAGTAGAATAATGATTGTACCCTACCTCAGGCATCGGTTGTGGGAGGGCAATATTCTTGCCATGGCAGGGTAAACCCACTGCAGTGCAGCTTTGATTCTTCTCTAAGAAGGTAATATTGAGCAGGGGATCACCTTGTCACACCTCACTATGGTGTGCTGTTCTCCGGTCACCTCTTTGCTCTGAACTGGCCTGAACTTCTGCAAAGAAGAGTGCAGCAGTCTTTCCCCTTTGGTGCAGCCACCTGCAGATGTGGCTAGAACTCCACAGAAAACAGAATTAAGCTGTTTTAGTGCTGCAGAACATCCTTACTGTCCTTTTTCTATTTCCAGTACTGTGGTGAACCTGAATATTCTTCCTTTAAACAGTAATGTATTGGTGCGCATGGTCAGCCCTGTGTTACGTTGCTTCTGTAACTGGTACCTATTTTTATTCAAAAGAGACAAATGAAATACAATATTTATTGTGGAATAAGTTGGAAGTTTGCAATACCCGGCATCTCTAAATTTTGAAAGTCTTAGATTGTTCTTCCATGTGAAGATCACTGGCGCCTTCATTTCTTCAGCAAATAGCCTTCTGTTAAGAAAGTTCCATAGGAGTGCCCAAAATCACTAACAATTTCCCAAATAGGCTGTGTTCTTCTATACAGACAGAAGCAGAGCTACCTGAAGTGTATGCTCCTACAGGTGCCTGTTATTTTTCAGTAGCAGTTCAGCTGATGAACTGAAAATAATTACTACTATAATTAATGCAAAAGTGTGGTAGAAGAAAAGTTGCTGCCCTGTGTCAAAGCAAATGGGATGAAATGTTCATTCCTGTGTAATATTTGAGGTTGCTCTGCAAAGTTTTATTTCTGCACAAAAGATTAAGGATAACGTGTCTACAACAAAACCCTTGGTTCATTAATGTTTTACGGCAAGAGGTACATGCTACAAATTTAGCCAATACCTACTTCTACCATATAGTGTGTGAGGAACTGATGTGTACATTTTTGTTATATATATATTTCAGAAACATGTGTCTGAGTCACTGAGTTCCTCACAGTGTAAAAAGACTATCTGGCACATTAGGAAGTAAAAGCAAGTGCTCACTAAATGTATACTGTATGCCTATTTCCGCTTCAACATTTAAAAGTGGTTTTTAGTGTTTTCATGTGTGTGAATGACAGTATATCTGAAATATAGCTAAATCCCAGCATGTTTCTTTTAATTCAAAGAACTTAAAGAACATAATTTGTGTATTTACAGGCATTGGTGGATTTATGGTACGCCAGCGGAGTCGTACAGGACAGGGAAAAACAAAGAGATCTCTCTCCAGGAAGGATTCTTCCGGTTCTGTATCTGAACAGATTCCTTGCAGAGATGAAAGTGGGTGCTACTTAAATGTTTCAACCCTTAATGTAATGTAGTGATCTATCTTGCATTGTCTTGTCACTATCACAACATGCATTCCAATTATGTTAAGATTTGTTATAATATTATTGAAATTATTTTTTCCATATCTGTATTTTTAACATTGCCCAAAGAGTCATAAAACTCATAGTCATTCCTGAAGAACTGTATGCAGTTGTGTACTTAGAAGGTCATATGACTTGTTTTTGACTTAAAGTTCACTCCTGCATTTAGACGGGTTAACCTGGTATTGAATGCAAGACCTTTAGCAACTTATAGCAACTTTTTGGTGTTAACTGATAAAAATCTTTTAATAGCTAATAAAATACTAATAATATTTGTCTTCATGAAAGCCATATTAATGTAACTAGTAATAGACCTATCAGGCTAGTAGTGAGGAATACAAGTTTAATAAATCAATCAATAAACTTGGTTTAAAATTGGACACTACTGGTATATGATACTCCAATTGGTGTTCCTTAATATAATGTTCCTAATTAGAACAAAGAATTCCTCTTACTCTGCTAGAAATATTTCTTTGCTAATGTTTTTCTGAATGTAGCTGCTGTTGTGTGGGTTTTGTACCTTATGCCTGCAGATATTTCCTTAACACCTGAGAAGGTGCTAAGTACATTCAGGTGTCATTTCAATAGTTGAATAGCACTTTTCACACTTTATCAATTGCTTGACAAGAGACAAATAACAGCCCAGCTGATCAGAATATGATCATACAATGAGAATTACTGAAACCTCAAAATACATAGATTAAGTTTCCATACAAGGAGTTTAGTTCACTAACAAGTTTTATTTGTTTAATATTAGCATCTGTCATCAGTGAAACATAGTCTTTGTTACCAAGTATTGCAGACATAGATATATATGCAGTTAATTTTCTGTACAAGACAAAAAATTGCATCTTCTTTGAATGTGTATCTCTCTTGATTCAAGCCAGTAATTGTAAATGTGAGAAAAATGTTTTGTTGTCTTGGGTTTAATTTCATTTACATATTTGAAGACTTCAAGAAAACATCACATTCTTTTCACCAAATTTTTCATCTCTGAAATTTTCTGTTTTCTTACAGCTCTGTGGTTCTATTTTCTTAACAATCTTGTTGTAAATGAGGAAAAAAATGAATGTGCAACAAGCAGTTGAAGGACGGAATAATCATGTATTTGTGCTTGTTTTATATTTCTAGGTTGGAGTGAACAGCTACCAGATACACCTGTTGATGAAACTGTTTCTGAAAATACAGAAAAAATTAAAAAACGTTACAGAAAGAGGAAAAACAAACTTGAAGAGATCTTCCCAGCATACTTGCAGGTACTTCTGTTACTATGTATGGCATGCTGCCTAAAATTATTTTTTGTACATAGTAAATAAACTGTTAATATTTTGAACCATAAGCACTTGCTTTAAAATGCTTTATCATTCCAAACTTATTTTTAAATAGGTTTTAAACAGTCTCTTCTTGCTTTTACGCACTTAAACACAAATAATACATTTCCTTCCAATTTCCTAATACTTACACTTTACAAGAAAATATAACATAAAAACACATAAGCCAAATTGCTTTCCCATGGTCTCAGTGCATCTTTACGGTAAACTTCTGTATCTCTTTCAGAGTCTTTATGAAATATTTATTTATTTTTATTTATTTATAAAATTTGTATGCTGTCCATTACTTCCGTCTCTGGACGGCTTACAATATTAATCAGAATCAAATAAATTAACTATTCCATGCTGGCTGAAAATCCAATAAAATACAAACAAAAAAATCCAATTAATACATATTAAAATATTGATCAAATAAAAAGGTCTTAACCTGGTGCCAAAAAACATATAATGACAGCACCAGGCGGACCTCTCTAGGGAGCGCATTCCACAGTTGGGGTGCCACCGCAGAGAAGGCATGCATGGTGGTAGTCTGCTCATATTGCTTAAGTGTTTGGGTAGACTCCCCTTAGATGATTTCTCATAGGAATAAAGTGGCCCTTCAAATATTGATTTCAAAAAGGAGTATCTGATCAGGCCAGATCAGAGTGGTTTTGCCAGTCACCTTGACTTTTTATGTGCTAGAGGGGACTCCTTGCTTCTTCCCACAGATCTACCTCTTAGGCTTATGAATTAGCTGGGATGGAGTTCTCTGGACAGATAAAGGTACATTGTACTAGCACCACCACTACTTTGATAGCATTTGGACCTGTGCTATGCTTCATTGCAGTTGCAACTGCTGCAGCGTAGTTGCCTGCCACTGTCATCTTAATGACTGTTTCCTCAGCTGTGCAGTTTTTATCTTTGAACTAAGAATATAAGAACATGAGAAGTAAGGACACTGATCCATCTCCAGTGAGTCAGCTTGTTACCCATACATGTAACACATAGAGACCATAAAGAAGGAAGTCAGGTTGTTTAGCTGTAACTGGTGTTCATCCACTGAATGTTCATCAGTCGATTTACATAACCCTCCCACCGCCCCTGCTTTTCTACGATTTACATAACCCTCCTACCCACTGTCCCTGTTTCCATGTCCATGATGATTTTGATGTTGGTACCAAGTCCAGAATAGGTCTCAAAGGGAACTGGGGGAATAGGTGGGAACCAAAGACATAAGTCCTAGGAGAGTGGAGGAAGGCTTCCCAACAAAATTCTTCAGCTATAGAAGTTTCCCAAAGCAAGGTCCAGCACAGGCTCAAAACTCCTATGTGTAATTTCACCAATGACCACTTGGAAGAACTTCAGTTGCAAGGAGCAACGTGACTGTCTTAATGCATTCATTAAATTTTGATGCCTTCAGCTGAAATTATTTGCTTTTGCTAAGAACAACACATTTTGAAGTTCTTATACACAGATGCTGCTTTGTGAGCAAAGAAGCAATGACATACAACTTTTTCCTGTATGTGATTGAAATAAAATTAACTCTTTAATTTGTATCCCAAGATAAGTGAATGGAATGAAGTTTGAAGCAGAAGATTTTCATGTGCTCTTCCCTTTCCTGAATCTCCCAGGGACACCCACAAAATTTCTTGGGAGGACAAGCAGGACTCCTGAACAATATGTATACATGTTCAGAGAAAAGGGTCTCAAGCCAAACTGGAAACCTTCCTTCCATTCACTTAAGATCTAAACCTTCAAATCAGAATAAAGGGGACAACAAATTACCTTCAGCAACTTTAATGTATAAAATTCAGTATTTTAATGAATTGATTTTTTTTCCTGCTCTATAACAAGTGAAGAGAAGAAAACTAATGAAAATCAGTTCTCTGTGCTAAAAAATCAATATGAAATTTCATATTTCTATGATCTAATATGAGGAATTCTGCAGACTATGAAAGAGTTTTAATAAAAAGTTGAAAACGTTTTTTTAATGCAGGAAGCTTTCTTTGGAAAAGATCTTCTGGATACCAGCAGGCAAAGTAAACCAAGTTTAGATAATTTATGTGAAGAAAGCCTTAACATTTCAAGCAAAACAAATCTGAACACAAACTTCTTAGATCCATCTTCAGATCCACTTCTTAGCTCAACATCAACTCCAGTTCCACCAAAATCTGGACCTCAAGGTATACAAACATAGAAATACTTCTGTGCCCTTTGGTAAAGGCCATGAATTGAAGATTGGTTTGCGGGGCGGGGGGGGGGGGGGTTACTGAACGTAAATATTTGGGAGGAATTGAAGGAACAGCAAAGAGCAATACAAAATAGAATTATTTTATGTGATTGTTTGAGCCCATTTCTTAATGGAGAAGTGTTCCCTAAATTTATTGTGTATAGGGTTTTCATGATATTTCCTAGTTAACATCAATTAGAGAGTAATTGCATCTGAAGTCCCTTTGTGTGAGAAGAGAGTGAGTGGAGATTTTTGTTTGTTTTTGACAGGAGCTTGGCAGTTGTGGGGGGTGTAGTGAGCAAAAATGTTTGCAATTATGGCCGGGGACCCCACCAGTGACAATCACTTTACCAAGTCAGTTAGGCCTCCATGGGGTGGCTGTCACTTGTGGCGGTCCAGGCAGTCTCACCAAGAGTGCAAGAGGTTTTTGCTGTTGTCATGAGCACTAACTTGCCACTTTTTTGGACCCACAATGGTGTTGGTTGTCTGCATTTGGCCAACATGACAAACCACTGTAGGCATAACATTCCTTAAAATAAATTATGGGTTTGTTAGTTGGCTTGTTGTCCACAAACAAGCCACCATTCAGAAGGTGGTCCATGTTCACACACTCAACATCACTTGTCACCCTCAATGGATTATTGTGTCATATGAACCTAGTCATATTACAGTAAAAGTCCATTGTCCTGATTCCAGTCATAGGTGTTACAGGTGAATTTCCTGAAAAGTTGTAATTCATTGGTTTCACAATGTAGTGCCCTTTTGGAGTTCCTTCATTAATTAATATCCACATTAGATCAGTGACAGTGTACTGGGATGCTGAAATGTTCCCCTACTTTTAAATATTGACATTTCTGCTGTCAGATTTTGTTATGATACTTAAGTGTAAGGTGTCTATTCTCTTTAGGTACCCCTGATGACCCATTAGCTGCCCTTGTACTGAACACTGATGATGATATTCTTGGAATTTTCTCTGAAGATTTAGTGAAATCTGGAGACCATTCAGGTAGGCCCTATTGAAATTCTAATTAGCTTCATGAATTTGTTACGATTTGTCATCCTGTATCATGTTCTCAGTTATATACAACTAGTTATTTATATGTATATTTGTCATGTCATAAACAGGTTTCTTCTAGCAAAGGACTCTTATCTCTTGCTTTGATCAATACATCTTCCCTTTATTTTACTTTTCACTTTGCTTTATTGCTATGGGGATAACTTGTTCAAATCCTATTGGTGCCTGTCATATCAATGTACTATTTCAGCATGGAGCTGTATGTACTTTTGGTTTATGTTCTTTCTTGCTTTCTTCACTCTTTTTTTCCCTTCTTGTTATAATCATCCATTTTATCTGGTTTGGATCCTGTAGGTCTTGATTTATGCACTTTCCAGGTTGAGAACTCATCTTCCCCTTTTGGTAAGGAAATAAACAGTGGGTGATCTGTGATTAGAAGTAGTCACCTTTCCTAGTGGTTTCAGCTGGAAAAAATGTGCATGTGAAATTTTATGGTTCTTCAACCATGTCCCTAAAAATACTTTTATTTTGCACTATCATTGTGTACAGCATCTGAAGCGGTTTTAAATGCCTACCTATGCAGAGCACCTAGTAAAGTTTGAGATTTTAAAAAAATCTTGAGAATAACAATGTCCTGGATTTGTGTGTGTGTGTGTATGTGCGCGTGTGCATATTTCATCATACAAAACAACATATTTCCTTCTGCTATGTGCTATATAAAGCATTACATGTCTCTTATCATAGTCGTGTAGATTGGTCAAGGGTAAGATCAAGAATAGGCATCCAGGGCTTCACGCCTCTGTGAAGCTAATTGAATAAAACTCACCCAATTGGCCTGATGCAACAGTGCCATGCTGTGCCACATGGGAAAGTGGAATCCAGCCTTTTTCATTGCCCACTCTAGCACAAGGAAATATTTAATTCCAGTCATGCTTTGTGATGTGCTAGCAGGAATAAGGATATCATGTTTACCAGTCACAGGGAGGAACTGAGTACACAGACACTGTACTGGCAAGGGGAGTCTGAAGTCACAGCTCAGATTGGAGCCCATTGATGCCAGGTGCCCACCCTACCACTCTTCATTGTACTGCTCCCACTTTAAAAAAATGCTTGGAAATGCCATGGAATAACTCTCTAGTAGGTCTGTAAAGTGTAGATTTAAAAGAGTTGTTTAATGTTTTGAAGCTCAGGACCCAGTTCTGCTTTGTACTCAGACTACTGGCCATGTTGCTTGTCTTTTTCATACCTTCCAAGGTAGGCATTTTGTGTAGGTATTCAGGACAGTCTCTAAAATTACCAAGTGTGCCCATGCCCCAGAAAGTTGCCTGTGCCTATGCTAGAAAACAAAAAATCAAAGGTTCTAATCTAGGAAGAACAATCTGGAGAAGAGAGAGAATAGATAAAGGAGGAAGAATTCCATTCATTCATTCATTTAATTTATATTCCACCTTTCTCCCATTGTGGAACTCAGGGTGGCTACGTGCAGTCCCTAGTTGGTCTGGTAGATGCCTTATGCGCCTTCAGACCGTATGCTGGGACAAGAAGGAAGGGCTGCAACTGGGAGAGTGCAGTGAATTATCAGAGGCAGTTTTAAGCTCCAAGACATTTTAGAAACATAGAAAACAGAGCGAGTCAGAAGGGGTCTCCCGGGCCATCTAGTCTGACCTCCGGCACCAGCTGGCTCCGCTCACGACATGCCCGCCATGTGGACGTCCAGCCTATCCTTGAACACCCACACCGATGGGGCCTCAACCACCTCCCGGGGAAGCCCATTTTGGCCAACAGCTACTACAAGTTGGCTTGTTCTAGAGTTTTTAGGAGGAAAGGCCAGTGTGTCAGTTTTTGCTTAGTATTGAATGTGTTTATCCAGAGCTAAAAGTCAAAAGAGATTTAAAGATGTATGTCTCCTTAACACCAAAGCAGAAGTATTTTATGCTTCCCACTGTGGTGTTCTTAATCAGAAGTCTCTGGTGCTTCCCATTGTGCCTGGTGTCTCTTCAGCAAGTGCTGTCCATCATTAGGAAAAGTAGTAAAACTCAGCATCTTATGGGGTAAGAGGATTTTTTTTTAGTTTAAACAAATTGGCGTCCTTTAAGGATGGAACCCAATCAAGGCAGTGTACAAGAAAAAAACCATGCAAAATAAATACATATTCAATAAAAAAATCCATAAGAGCTGAGATTATCAATATTGATAAATAAAATAGAAATTGTAAATAAGCTACCCAAGGCACTACAGGAAGCGCAGCAAAAACAGGTGCATCTTCAGAGCTTTCTGAAGACCTTCAAAGAAGGGGCTTTATAACACACCATTTCTGGCCCTAGCAGCTTATTTTAGTCATCAGTTTAAAATGCAATCTTGTATATGCCTACTCAGAAGTAACTCCCACTGACTTCAGCAGGATTTACTACCTAGTATGTACACAATTACAGCCTAAAGCACTTTGTCAAATTCTGTGTAAATACATCCAGATCCATCTTATGTTAATAAGCTTCTTTTTTCCTGTAACTGTCCTGGAAATGGTTTCACGGTACACACATCAGCTCCTATTTACTGATTATCTTTGTTTTTGCCACCCCTGCCCCCAACTTTAAAATATCTCAGTCACCTTTTGAGATAAACTAAATTGTACAATCATTTTGTTGCTGCTTAGTTCTTAAAATCTGAGAAGTGTATGACTTACAATCATTTGGATGACCTCATGATACTCCTGTTTTTCAAACTGGCTAAATATGAATACATATTATTAAGTTTAGCTGGATACCTTATAGAAAAAATGTGCTTCCTCTTATTTTTTGAAGCATGTTGTTAAATTAGAAGCCAAGAGGCATCCATATATTTTTAGTTAAAACCATACACTTTCTCCCTTCAGCTGGGCTAGATATCGGAGCCATCTCTGATGACCCCTCCTCTCTGCCTCTGCAAAGCATTAACCAGAGTTCACGGCCATTGAGTGAAGAACAGTTGGATGGAATCCTGAGCCCTGAGCTGGACAAGATGGTCACAGATGGTAAATGTTCCTCCTGCACCAATGTCCTATCATTTGAGAAGATTGTATTTTTAGATGTGCTTTGCAGTAGCAGTTATTGAAGCTAATTTGTTGCAGACATTTGATATAAGAACAGGGAATTGTGGTTGTTAACGTTTATATTACTTTTACTTTGTCCAGGTGCAATTCTTGGTAAATTGTACAAGATTCCAGGTATGTTCTCTTGCTTTTTATGTCCTTTTAAAAATCTGACTATACACAGCCAAACCTGTAGACTCATGTCCAGTGTTTTTCAGAACTGGGAGGAAAGGATGTTGAAGATCTGTTTACTGCTGTACTGAGTCCGGCAGCTACCCAGTCAGCTGCTTTGCCACAACCTCCACCACCACAGTTAATGCACTTGCACAATCAAGGTTTGCTGTTTTTTGGTTTGGGCTTTTTCCTCAAAAATAAAGCAGTATGATAGCAGATAGTTTGTCACCTAACTGTGCGTAGAATCAGAAGTTACAATAACATTTATCATTAATTCGTGTCATTCTCACTTTTTTTGTATCAGTAAAATGGTATATCCCAAGAAGGTAAATGTGTCTCTTTGTTACACTAGCTAGATATGTCTCATTTGGGGCAGAGTTGACATTTATAGTGATTCTACATCTGTAGCCGGCAAAGGGCACCATACTTTGTACTGAGTGGTATCTATCAGTGAATGACTGTTCTGCTCTGATGGCAGAGGGAACCACAGACCCTTTGGGTACATGGTTGTGTGCAGGGGTACAGAATCACTAGCCTGAAGTCTAGAAACAGGACTTTCCCCCTATTTCTGTTGTGTTTTCAGAGATGGTTACATCTAAAGAGTCAAGACAGATACATTTATTCCTCAGTGATACTATCTCTCAGGATGGTGGTGAATAGATCTCTCTCTCTCTCTCTCTCTCTCTCTCTCTCTCTCTCTCTCTCTCTTTTAGTACAGAAAGCTGCAATACTTCTAACACTACAGTTCTGTGATACATTATGGGTACCAGCAATTACAGATCTCCACTGTTTTTAATCACTTCCATATCTTGGCACTCATCAGTTCTCTCTGAGTGTAGAAAGCGAGATAGCAGAATCACTGGGATACAAAGAGTCTGCCAAACTAACGCTGTAATAGTATGAGACCTATAGCTAATTATACTATAATCTTCACAGAGATTCTTGTGAGGGGCAGTCGGGGAGGATTTTGGTTTACTTTGACAGTATGGAAGGGAATTTTCATTCCATTATTTAATTGCATCCCTCAGAATAAGCATGATAAACATAAATGTTAATGTAAGAATGGTTCTCATTTGTCTCCTTCAGGAACTATATAACTATATCTTCAGACTGCAAAACACTGCAATGATCAGAGGCAAAAGTATTTAAGCATAGGAAAACCCTGAATATCTTCTATCTTTTGCACAGAATTGAAATTTTATATGTTTGATATTGTATATGTCTGATACTACAGATAAAGCACCTTTAAATTGTTTTGTTTAGTACTGTGAAATCATATTTAGAAACACAGAAACACTGTTAAGCATTATAATTACACTTTAAAATACACTTTTCTTATATAGAGTATTAGAGGTTGTCCAAGGGGTGGTAGCCAGTGTTCAATTTTGTATCTGTACCCTTTCTTTAAAGGAGAGAATGCATTTCCAAGAGTTCAACTTATGAATGGCCTCATTGGACCAAATCCCCATCTCCCACATACATCTTTGGTTCCTGGAGGTGGATTAGGCACTTTTTCTACTATACCACAGTCACCTTACACAGACACTAGGTAAGTCAAATTGAGAACTCTGATATTTATCAAAATTCTGCATAGGTAAAATGATAAATCAACTTAGTTCTGAGTTCTTCTCTACCCAGATTGTACAATAACCAGAACCATTAGCAGTTTTGAGGTGAATGTTTTAACATGTTTGCACAATATACTCCTGTACATGAAAATTAATGAACTATTTTGTTTTGCTTTCTCAGAGATAAAAACACAGCTTTTAATGCAGTAATGGGAGATCCAACCAATTCTTGGGTTCCATCTGCTACACCACTGGAAAATGAAGGTGATACTATGTCTAACGCACAGAGAAGCACACTAAAATGGGAAAAAGAGGAAGCACTTGGTGAAATGGCAACTGTAGCACCTGTTTTGTACACCAATATTAATTTTCCAAACTTAAAAGAGGAGTTCCCAGGTATGCTTTTAAATAATATTAAACTAATCATTACATAACTATTGGCTTCAATTTTATTACATAGACTTCAGATTTTCTTAACTTTGAAGGAGCTAATATTTCATAAAGAACAGATATATTTTACTAATACTTTACTAATATTCATCATATTTTTTTAAACTTGTTTTTCTCCACTTTTTCAGACTGGACTACAAGAGTGAAGCAGATAGCTAAACTATGGAGAAAAGCAAGCTCACAGGAAAGAGCTCCATATGTGGTAATACACATGTGCAAATTTTGTTAAAAAAGAAATTTTTAATCTCTGGCTTTCTTGACTGTTCTAAAATTATTTTAAGTTTTAAAACTGCCCCAAAGCACAGAACCTCTACAAAGTATGTATTTAAAACTTGGGTCCTGGCTAGTTCTTTGAGTTCATTTCTTCTCTGGTGTCAATGTTTGCTTTTTTAGCCAGAATATTCATATTTGGATGTATTTGTGTTCTCGTGACTGTGTTCTTCTTCCAGCTCCGAAGACTAATTCAGAACTTAAGTACCCAAACTTAAAAAACTGCTGTAATCATCTGGTAAAGTAATGCCAAGGGAGTGCAATCCAGGATCTGCTTGCTGCAAGACAAATAAACTTTTTCCTGCCCAATTACTGGGGAATACCCATGCAGCATGCATCAGGGTTGCCTGACTCTCTGGATCATATTTGCAGGGGGATGGAGGAACTCCCATGGGAAGGAGGGGGCAGGAAGCCTCCTTCTCCCAGTTCAGTTTATGCTGAATCAAACCCAAAGACATCAGTGAAAAATAAGTGCTTGGAGTTGCTTTTAAATGATTAAAAGCCCTATTCTTGCTTACACTGCTTAACTGAACCAATGCCCATATTTCTTGGTTTTCATTTGTTCTTTCCAGTGCTTACGTGGCTCAGCTTGATTTGGATTATTGCCCTTTTTTCCCAGAAATTGTATGCAGTGATAGATCTGTCCTTGTACAAAGCACAGGCTAGGACTGAGTTGTTAGTTTCTTAGTCAGTTTTGTTAAGCCAATTCATCTAGAGGAGAAAAAAGTGAGATTAAGTACATCTAAGTACCATATATAATGTGCCAAGGGAGATTAGTAGTTTCCAGGTACTCAAGGCTGACCTAGTTTCTTTAATTGATATGTGAAATTAAATCAAACCAAACAGCATAAATAATGCATGTTTGGATTTTGTGGGGGTAACACTCAAAGGCATTGCTTACCTTTATCAACCTAACAGAAGACACAATTAATGTGTGTGTGTGTGTGACCTTTTTTGCAGCAAAAAGCAAGAGATAATAGAGCAGCCTTACGTATCAACAAAGTGCAGATGTCTAATGATTCCATGAAAAGGCAGCAACAACAGGATAGCATTGATCCAAGCTCTCGTATCGACACTGAACTCTTTAAGGACCCATTAAAACAGAGGGAATCGGAGCATGAGCAAGAATGGAAATTTAGACAGGTGTGTTGCATTTGATTGCTGCTTTCCACTTTTGTCTAGTACAGCTGCAGGATCTCTAGCCTTCACTTAAAACTAGTTGCCAAGAATTTAAGTACCCACCTAAAGGACTTAAGGACTAACACTAGGTTAGTAAGGCTTCTTGAATAAAGAGACATTCCCTGCCTGACTCCCAGAGGCAAGGAATTCCACAAAAAGAGATTTACCACACTGAAGGCTCTATTTTTGGTGGACTTCAGTCAGACTATAGGTCCATGCAAAACCACTAGGGGCATCCCATCAATTGACCTTGTAAGGAAGAAGGTGCTCTCTCAGGTATCCCATTCACGAACTGCTCAGGGCTTTCCACACTGAAAGTAAAGCCTTGCCTTTGGTCCAGTAGAGAATAGGCAGCCAGTGTGGTTCCCCGCAGCTTTGGTGCTGCATGCAGAAAAGATTCAGCTCCTGACAAGAGCAGAGCTGCTACATTCTGCACTAGCTCAAGCTTTCAGGCCAACCTTACGGACATCTCCACATAGAGAGAATTGCAGTAATCCAGTCTTGAGGTTTAGCTATATCTTATGACAAGCAAATAAAGTAACATGTATACATTTCAGTTTTATAAGTCAACAGCGTCTGTACCATACATAGGCTTGGGTTTTTAACATGATTGTTAGAAACACAAAACTAAATGAGTCAGAAGGGCCATCTAGTCTGACCCCCAGCTCCAGCTGGCTCCGCTTATGACATTGTTAATCGTTCCTAATATGTTAAAGTTACCTTTATAACATAACAATTTTTTTCTTTTCCTAAAACAGCAAATGCGTCAGAAAAGTAAGCAACAAGCTAAAATTGAAGCCACTCAGAAGCTTGAACAAGTGAAAAATGAGCAGCAACAGCAGCAACTGCAACAACAACTTGGATCACAGCAGCTGATGAATCATTCAGGTTCGGACACACCTAGCAGTGGGATGCAGAGTCCTCTGACCCCTCAGACTGGCAATGGAAGCATGTCTCCTGCACAACAGACATCGTATGCCAAGCAGTTGCCTAGCACTCCCAGCACTCCTACTTCTACTACTCCCTCTGATGTGTTTCTGAAACCGCAGGCCCCACCTCCACCTACCACACAAAATAGAATGCCTGTTCCAGATGCACATGGTCAGCAGGGTTTTCCTCTTTGCTCCTCCACTAGACCATCTTCTCCTGTTGACCCATATGCAAAAATGGTGGGAACACCAAGGCCACCACCTGTTAACCAAAATCCAAACTTCATCCGAAGAAATTCTGTGACATCAGCAGATATCTGTCCACCCCCATCACCCATATCCAGGCCAGCTCAGGTAACTGAATCAACAGGAAGCCGACCATCACCAGTTAGAGAATCATGTTCTTTGTCTCCAGTCAACAATGACCCATATACAAAACCTCCAGATACACCCAGACCTGTAATGGGAACAGAACAGTTCTCCAAACCTTTAGGTGTATCAAGATCACCTCTAATTGTAGAACAACCAGGGAAAGCTCCTTTAACAGTGGCAAACAGTGACCCATTTGCTAAGCCACCTCTTAGATCAGATGCATTTCAGAGACCTCGGATGTCTCCTGCTGACTCCTATGCACGGCCACCATTGACTCCTGCTCCTGTTGCTGAAGGAAATTCTGGTCCATTCAAAACTCCAATGCGCCCAACTCAGTCCCCACAAGATCCTTACACAAAAATGCCCCCAACTCCAAGACGCACCAGTGTGGATCCTTACGAACGGCCTGTTTTGACTCCAAGACCTGTAGACAATTTTTCACATAACCCAGCCAATGATGCATACACTCAGTCTCCTCTGACCCCCCACCCAGCAATAAAAGAATCTTTCCCCCATCCACAAAGAACCGTGCGCAATCAGAGTGATTCATTTACTCAGTCTGGAACTATTTCAAGGGCAACTGCTCAGGACCCATATGCCCAGCCTCCGGGTACTCCTCGACCAGTCACGGACCCATATGCCCAGCCTCCGGGTACTCCTCGGCCAGTCACGGACCCATATGCCCAGCCTCCGGGTACTCCTCGGCCTGCCACTGTAGACCCATATCTGCATCAGCCACCCACACCCAGACCTGCCCAGACAGCAGACTTATTTGCTCAGGTTGCAGCTACGCAAAGGCATTCTGATCCATATGCTCAGCCTCCAGGCACACCTAGGCCAGTAGCTAATGATCCATACACTCAACCACCAGCAACTCCAAGGCCTGGAATTTCAGAAACTTTCAGCAGACCAGCTCTAATGTCAAATCGGGATCCTTATCTGCAGACATCACAGAACAGGACTTTGTCTGGAACTTTTGTGAGGCCATCAGACCCCTGTTCTCAGCCTTCAAAGCTGCCAGGACCTGCTGTGACAGATTCTTTTAGCCATCCGTCAACAGCCCCACCTTGTGACCCTTATGATCAGCCTCCACTGACTCCAAGGCCTCAGCCAGAAAGTTTTGGGTCTGCTCAGCATCTACATGAAATTGCAGAGCAGCCAAGACCTGTATCAGAGGGAAACTTTAATGCATCTGTAAACTCTTCAATGAGCTTGCAAGGAAAGCAATTTCCACAAACCACTCAAGTTCCTGGCCCAACACCAGCTTCAGGAACAACAAATACACAGAATGCAATGTCTCAGGCAGATGCAGAGAAACTAAGACAGGTGAGTTTAATATTGCTGGATAATGTGCTGGTGAAAACGGAGATACCTTTGTTGAAAGAATCTAGCAATACCTTTTAGAATCATGTTTGTTATATAAGGTATATGCATGTTCCATACTATAGCAGCCATCTCACTGTCCTATTACTGGTATCTTGTCTTTAACTACATTAAATTATACTGGATTTCTCTTGAAAGCTGGTGCACTGTGAAGCAACAGCCTCTGTTACCTACAGTTAAGACTAGGAGTGAGCAGTGGAATCATGTTTTTTTCCTCCCCTTCACCCTTGAATTTCTCCCTCCCTCTTTAACCACAATCAGTGATTACTTCACAGCCTGTGTTACCATGGTTCTTTGGGAGACTACTTTTAATGAAACTTTCGTTAGACCTTGAGATTGTAACAACCACCTTGTCAGTAGTCAATTTCCCTTTCTTGTGCAAGGTACTAGAGGAGGGTGTTATCTGTGCCACTCCTGGCTGTCTTGGATAAGAACAGTTATGTAGGTAAGAGGTAGGCAAACTTCTTGTATCATGAGCACCTTTGGCATTTTGAGAAACTGTTCTAGGCACCACCAGTAAAATGGTCTCCATGGGAGGTATGACAAGGACAATTAACCTGCCCAAAAGACTGACTATATGAGGCAGTGGGCAAGTCCGAGTCCCAGCACAGAAAATGATTCCTTTAAATGCACAATATTTCTAGCTGTCATTAAGACAATGTATTACTTCTTTTTACATTATGGGATGAATAGGGCCCTCATAGGAGCCAAAATAGGTGTCTGAAGGTTCATTAGTGCTTGTGGGCACCACTGATTTTGCTACATTTCAATCTGGTTTCAGCCCTGATTACCAAAGTTGTCTTGGTCACCCTTTTAGATGACAAATCCTAGAGAAGGAGTAACCCTGCTTATTCTGTAACCATGTTTATGTTGGAGAGTTGAGGATATTTGCTTTGCGGGAATGATTGGAGGGAAAAGTACCTGTGTTTGTACTCATTGCCATATTATTTTAGACAGATAGATAGATATGACAATTTTAAGAAGAAATCCAAGCGTGCGCTCTATGTATGTATGTTGCTTGGATTTCTTCTTAAAAGAAGATTCCACCTAAGAGAACTGTAGAATTAACAAGACCAATTGCTTCTGTTCCATGTCAGCGCCAGAAATTACGAGAAATTATTCTTCAGCAGCAGCAACAGAAGAAGAATGCAACTCGTCAAGAGAAAACCCACGAGCCTTCCTCAGCATCTCATACAGGATCTATTCAGCCATGGCAACAAGAAAATCTGAGCCAGATTTTTAACCGACCACCTCCTCCCTATCCTGGAAACATTAGGTCATCTATTGTTCCACCCAGTGGACTAAGATTCACAGGTTTTTCTGCTGATGGGCAGTTTAATAGACCCCAGTATCCAGGAGATATGGGGGGCATGGGAATGCGTCCTCATGAAACTAGGTATGCTTCTTGATTACTTATTTCATTTATTGCTTTTCTGTACTATCCAATGAGCAAAGTTTCCTAGGTAGTTTACAAATAATAAAACCTTAAAAATACCTTATAAAACCCATCCAGTACAAACACGTAAACAGACAATACACCATCATAAAGATATGGGTTGCTTAGACCCTTTTAATGTTCCATGCATGTCTCAGTAATTCAGAATGACTGCAGAACTGGTATGTAATAGATGGTGTGCTTCTGCATCTGTTTAATGCATATGTTATGCATCCAAGGTGCATAAATATCCACTGTTTTAGTTCAGAATGTTGATTATATTACCTGTCTTTTTAAAGCTGATCTAGTTTAAAATTTTATCTGAATGTAACACAACCGTGTGTATTAAAGCCTGCACTTAAGTCACTTAAAATTTAATACATGAGCCTTTATCAGCACATCAAGGTAAAATTCGTTTTTCTGTGTAAGCTAATAAATCAGGAACAAAAAATATGTGACTTTTGAGATCAAGCAGTATGACACCATAGGACATGTATTGTATTTACTATTGTTTAGTATTTAGAATATCTCAACAAAACTGTATGGATGTATTTTTTTAATGTAATGGAGAAACACTGCTATGCTCAGTAAGTACCATCCTTGTTCCTGGGAAGTTGTTCACTCTTTCATCTTCAGGTAAGTGATCCTGCTTATTGTCCTTCCATGTACACAGAGTCAAACAGAAATTTTTAATTTCAAAATTGCTTCCATAAGCCTACATGCCTTTTTATACTTCAGAATTTATGGAGAAAAAAGAATTATGTGCCTAGGTAGCCTGCAATTTCACTTTAAAGCCGTTTATTTAATTCACCAAGAAAAACAGCCTTTATTTAAATCACTCCATTCTATTTGACCTAATTCTGAAGTTAATCAAAACAAGAAGATAAGAATGCTTTGCTGGATTAAACATAAGGACCATAAATTCTAATATTCTGTTTCCATTAATGGCCAGCCAAAATGTGCTTCAATTAGCAAAGGTGTCACTTCTAGTTAATTAAAAGATGTAACATCCTACAAAAGTGGTTCATTGTGTAAATATGCTACAGTTGGCCATCCAAGTCAACCAAAGTTTCCCTTTTCTTTTAACCCAGATTTCGTTTTACTGGAGGTAGTCATGGACCTCCCCCATGTCAAGAACGCTTCCTTGGTCCACCACAACAAATGCAACACCCTGGTGTTCCACCACAGCTCAGAAGATCCATGTCTGTAGATATGCCTAGACTACCTAACAAGCCACAAATGGGTAACCCTGTTGGACTCTCACAGCATTTTCCACCACAAGGTATTCAGGTTCAGCAGCACAACATAATGGGGCAGGCATTTATTGAGCTCTGTCACAGAGCACCTGAAGCCAGACCAAGACTTCCTTTTAATTCCTCATCAACTGCTGTTTTGAACACAGTTCCCCAGCATCAACAACATGCAGGGTTTGTACCTAGGCAGGACTGTCAAGGACCGAGACACCTAGAGCCTGTGAGATGTAATTCTCAAAGCTTAAACAATTCACTGCATGTGTCAACAGGCTTGGAGCATTTGCCGCCATCTCAGCAAGACCCAGTGAATCCCAACAATCCTCCTGTGCTAGTTATGTGTCCTTTAAGTCATCCACCAGTTAATGATGCTTTTTCAGGAGGTCCTTTGCCAACTTCAACACATGCTGAGGCAGCAGGTGAATTACAAATTCCCAACCAGCCCACTGACACCTTGGAAGAAAAACTTGACCCTGATGATCCTTCTGTGAAAGATTTAGATGTCAAAGACCTAGATGGTGTTGAAGTTAAAGATTTGGTTGATGAAGATCTTGAAAACCTAAATCTAGACCCTGATGGCAAAGGAGATGAACTGGACACATTAGATAATCTTGAAACCAATGATCGTCACCTTGATGACCTTCTCAGATCAGGAGAATTTGATATAATTGCCTACACTGATCCAGATCATGATTTGGGTGACAAAAAGGGGATGTTTAATGAGGAGCTGGATCTTAATGTCCCAATTGATGACATACAAAGCAAGACAGAAGATGCTCAGCAAAAACCTCAGCAGAATGAGAAGGCTGCTGTTCCTTCAGATGCACTTTCTCCTCAAAGAAAAACTGCTGAAATGAATGAGATTAAAACAGAAGTGCTGTCTCCAAACACATTAGAAGAAGCCAAATCTGAAAATGAACGAAGTGTTGGAGATGTGGCAGCCTCAAATACTCAGCATTTGACTGAAGGAGAGCTGCATGATGGTGAAACAAAATCTGCGCTGCTTTGTAATGTGGAAATAACTGACAAAACAAATATGAATGAGGAAACCACTGTGTCGAGCCCAGATGCTCTTCAGGGCCCTGCGCCAGCATCTGTTCAAAGTATAGCAAGTTCTTGCAATATTTCTGGGTCTACTCCAGTTCTAACGAGTTTACTAGCTAATGAAAGTTCAGAAAATTCTGATGTTGGGCCTTTAGGCTCTCCACCTCACACACTGCCAACAGCACAAACAAACCCTGTTTCAAGTGTTCCACAAACTTTAATTACATCTGCTGGTCAAACCATGGAAAATGCAATACATAATGTGAACATGGTTCAAAAAATAAGCCATAACTTCTCACAAGGGACAGCAGTAAATCCAGGCTTTATCCCTGGCCAGCCAATTAGTCATAGCTTTGTGGCTGGGCAGCCTGGTAACCAAACTGTGCCTGTTGCAAGTCGACCTGGCCCTAGTGGTGTGCCGGTTCCCCAGCAGATGATGCATACCCAGCAGCAAAATCGCGAGAGGCCGCTTTTGCTTGAAGAACAGCCCCTTCTTCTGCAAGATTTGTTGGATCAGGAAAGGCAAGAGCAGCAGCAGCAGCGTCAAATGCAAGCCATGATTCGCCAGCGTTCAGAGCCATTTTTTCCTAACATTGGTAAGTTCTTGTTTCTCTTATGCTCAAGCCATGATAAGGTTAAAAGGACGTGGGGTGGTTGCGAGAAGTTACTTTCTGAGTGGAAACCAGCACCCATATATCAATTCCAGTAATGTGCGCTAATGGATAAAGTCTAATTTCTCTATTTTGTTTTCTAATTTGTTCAGTCAATTATGGAAAATGGAAAATACAAATTAAAATAAGTAAGATAGGCTTTCCAGGTTTGTGGAAAAGGCATGTGTTCAACCTGCTTATCCTTATTAAAACTAGAATCACCTAGTCTTATTCTGGCTTATTTGATTCTTGAGTGTGAGTTTCTAAAGAACTCAATATAACCTGAGATAATGTGAAAAATCAAACATAAAATAGCCACGGAACAGGTTTCATTATTCCCATTATGCAAATTTAAACAATAGGCTTAAAGAGGTAAGCAGATGTGAAAAAATTATATAGTAGGTGTGTATATTCTGGCAGTTCTATAAACTTAATGCTTTGTAAATTTGAAAATCTTATACAACTCTGTCTTTATAGATTTTGATGCAATCACTGATCCTATAATGAAAGCAAAAATGGTGGCTTTAAAAGGGATCAATAAAGTAATGGCACAGAACAATATGGGGATTCCACCAATGGTCATGAACAGGTAGGCAATAATGACATCTTTATATCAAGTTTGTGAGTATTTTGCAGCTGCTCTTAAATATATGTGGGGATATGTGCTTCTACTTTTTCCTGAATTGTCACATCATTCTAATAGGTTTCCTGATCTGTGGAAAATTTTAGTGAAGGCAATTACATAATGGCTGTGACCTTGTAAGCTGTCTTGAATTCCTTGTTCAAAAAGAAAGACAGGATATGCAATGTAATAATAATATTGCATAGTTTGTTTCCTTCCCCAAAGCAAATGACATTCATGGAAATAGCTGCACAGTCCTACATGCAGCAATAACTCCAGTGTATGTACAGAAAAAGGCTGAGACTGGGAAGGTGAAGTAGATCAAGAACACACTATTCCTCCCATACCCACCCCAAGAAAAAATTGGGGCTTCTATGCAGAAATTAATGGAATATGCCCAGATGCCACTGCAAGAAAGAAAATATACCTCATAATAATGGGAACATACGGAGACAGCAGGAATGAATGAGGAGACTAGGCTTGCCTTGAATGTTTGCTGCTGGAACCTGATAATAATCTTAATCTAAAATAGTGTTACTTTGCTAACTCAAGACATAAAAATTAATGAAAATTGTGGTTTTAATTTACATATCACTAGATTTGCCTTTATGGGTCAAGCAGTTCCAGGAGCACCAACTGGTGAAGGCCAGAATCTGATACAGCAAGCAATTACACAGGTAATACAACCTGTCCAAAGGTTTATGCTAAAACAGCTCAGATTTTCTTAAGTAAATCATGATCAAAAGCAAAGGATACTTGAAGTAGCCTGTACAGTGGTACCTTGGCTCATGAACTTAATCTGTTCTAGGACTCTGGTCATGACCCAAATTGGTCATGAGCCCAGTTAAATTGCCCCATAAGGTTCAATGTAAATAAGGTTTATCTGTTCTGTTATCATTTTTTTAATCAGAAAAATGTGAAGCAAAGTGACAAAGAACAACAAAGATTGCGGCCATCTCCCCCTCCCCACCCCAAGCACAAGTGTGGCCATCTCCCCGCCCCCCCCCCCCCCGCATGACCGAAATTGCACCTGTCAACCCTGCATGTGTGCATCATCGTGGCGTGCTGGGCGGGGGGAGAGACGGGCGTTAATGGGGTGTGGAGGGGAGGGAGAGATGGGTGCAATCTCGGCCATCTCCTCCCCACCACCCCCAGCACGATCGCGGCCATCTCCCCACTCGGGGAGATGGCCGAGATTGCGCCCATCTTTCCTGCAGGAGAGCACCCATGATCACACACGTCTTCCCTGCACAAATGCAACTGTGATCGTGGCCATCTCCCCACTAAGGGGGTGGAGAGATGGCTGCGATCTTGGTCGCCACCCAATGCGGAGTTCGCAACCCACATCAAAATTTTCATGAAATTTTTGTTCACGAACCAAGGCATTCATGAGCCAAGGTACCGCTATATTCAGAGCCTAAGTAATTCATGGTCATAATGATTGCCTATTTTTCATGGGTACTGTTGGTTCTTCAGGCTTCCTGAATCAGGGTTAGAACCCTTTAAGATGTATATAATTGAACTCCCAAGAGCAGTTTCTTGAGCTTTCATTGGAGATGTTTCAAGAGGAGAAACATGTTTTGTGTTTTCTCACACCCTGGATCAGAGTGCATATAAAATAGCATTTTATTAACTCCCTTTTTTCCTTTTAAGGATGGAAACCTAACACCTCAGATTTCTAGGCCAAACCCTCCAAACTTTGGTCCTGGTTTTGGAAGTAAGTATAACTGATAATTTATTGTGACCATGGCCTTTGATTCTCAAAACCTGTTCAATTTCAAAATGCATATAATTTATTTACAGGTCTGTTCAAAATTGTTGCTTCTGTGGTACTTACTCTAAACTTCAATAATGGCACAAATAATTAACAACAGGATTCTAAATGAGTTCATTCATATTTTTGGAAACATGACAAATTTCCAAAAAAACACAAAACTTCTAAATATGAAAAGCTATCATTCAATTTTGAAAACAGCTTTTAAAAATAACATTGCTTGCTTTGAAGTAGTGATTCTTAGCTTGATATCAATGTACAGATTTATTTTATATAAACCTAAAATCATTTTGCAAAGGAAAAAGTGGGGCTTGTGCAGCCTCATTCTCTGTTTCAGAATAATACTGTTGTCATTGGTTAGACTTAAGAAAAGTATGCACTTTTCTTGTGCTAGTATTTGACACTCTCTTTTTTTCTTCTCCAACATGGTTTATTTTAGTTCTTTATTAAAAGAGGAAAAAGTTAGTGCTGTTGGGAGTGGGCTTCATGAAAGACAATAATTTTACTAAAGCAAGTTTGAAAACCAGAATCGTTAAAGTATGTAAAAAGTAAAAAGAGTTGTTAAACTTTGTAAAAACCCTAAGGTAAAAGTATATACATGAACTTTCTACGGAATAACCAAACACTTGAATAATAAAAACCTCCCTTTTGAACTTAAATGCTAGAAAAATATTGATTCATTCTGCTTTATCCTCAGATGATTCACATCGAAAGCAATATGAAGAATGGCTGCAAGAAACACAGCAGCTTCTTCAAATGCAGCAGAAGTTCCTTGAAGAGCAAATTGGAGCACACAGAAAATCAAAAAAAGCACTGTCTGCAAAACAGCGCACTGCAAAGAAAGCAGGCCGAGAATTTCCGGAGGAAGATGCAGAGCAGCTTAAGCATGTTACTGAGCAGCAGAGTATGGTTCAAAAGCAGCTTGAACAGGCAAGAATTTTTGCTGAGGGGGTGGGTATGGGAAGACCTGGCAGCATGTGGAAGTATTCTGTTTTGCTAATATATTTTATCCTGCACATTTCAGTGGTACTTTTCATTTAAAATATGCTAAAGCAGTTCATAATGAAAAATTGTAATATAATACAAAAAGCCGATCAAAAATACCAATTAAAATGATACAACACCTCATTAAGATAACCAAGGGTTATCACCTAAGGTTCTCAACATTGTATGTGGGTGAGTTAGTCCTTTAGGTAACTTCACCTGAACCCATTTAGGGTTTTAAAACTTAATAGCAGAACTTCGTATCGGGCCCAGAAATGGGCTGGAAACAAATGCAGATCACAAAGTATTAGCATAATATGAACATATGAACCAGTCTTGCGGCCCTGTTGTTGACCAGCACGTTTCCAAAATATTTTCAAACGTGTTGAAAACATAATGCACTATAGTAACCCAAATATCACGTTCCTAAAGCGTGGCTGTCTGTAGCTAATCTGTTTCTGTCCAAATAGCACCACAGTTGATATATCAGCCTAAGCTGTTAAAAAGTGCTCTTGTCTTCCAGTGATAATGCAAATGATTGCATAATCCAGAGGATGAAGCTAATCCTTTGAGGGGTGAGCAGTCCCTTCCAGAAGATGCCGAACACGAGTCAGCTAGATATACCATTCATTAACAGTGCCACCATCTTGTCGGGGTTTATTCTCACTGGCTTGTTTTTAAAGTTGTTGTAAGCTGCCCCGAGGCTTTGGCGAATGGGGCAGCATAAAAATGTTTTAATAAATAAATAAAGTGGCTTAGACAAGTCATGGTATGTGCCAGGACCTGTTCACCTGCCTGGATGTGGTTTGTTGTGTTGTCCAAATCTGGGTAGCATGGCTTGCTTGAGGGGGAAACCAACAGCCCATGATTGTTGTTGGATTGCCTAGGGTTGTTTTCCCCTCAAACAAGCCGTGCTTCCCAGATACTGATGAAAGTATTATTTATCTTTTAAGGCCACTTAGTGAGAGTTTGTTCTGAGAAGACAAAGTATATAGATTTGTTGTTGTTTTTTAATGATGAAAATAAACATAAGAACAACAAATTGACCTGTGATGTCTTAAAGACAAACACATTTATTCTGGTATCAGCTTTCATGGATTAGAGTCTTTTATAATTTGCATAAATTGTTGGCTTGTTTTTCTCAGAAGTTTGCAGCCTGAGAAACAAAAGATGCTCTTGCAGGGCATTAGCTGATGGAGTGTTTACATTGCAGATACGAAAGCAGCAAAAAGAGCATGCAGAGCTCATTGAAGAATATCGAATTAAGCAGCAGCAATGTGGAATGGGGCCCCATGCGCTGATGCCCGGCTTGCCTTCTCAGCCCCCAATGCTTCCAGGAGGATCACCACCAGCAGTGGGCCAGCAGAATTTCCCCATGGTTTCACAACAGCTTCAGCATCAGCAGCATGCCGTTGTGGTTCCTGGACAACCCAATCCACCTAGGATGCCAAGCCTGCCTGGATGGCAGACCCCTAGTGCTACTCCAGTGCACATCCCCCACAATGCACCAAGGATGCCACCTCCAATGATTCCATTACCAGTTAATCCCGTGACTCCCACTTCTGCATCCGTTCCCAGCTCTAGTGTCCAGTCGGGGCCTCCACCACGTGTGGAGTTTGATGACAACAACCCATTCAGTGAAAGCTTTCAGGAGCGTGAGCGAAAGGAGCGTTTGCGAGAGCAGCAGGAGAGGCAGCGAATCCAGCTTATGCAGGAGGTGGATCGGCAGAGAGCTTTACAGCAGCGGATGGAAATGGAGCAACATGGCAGTGTGGGCTCAGAATTAAATAACAGGACTGCCTTGTCTCAGATACCATACTTTGGATCCGATATACCTTGTGATTTCATGCGGCCTTCACGCCCTCTTCAACCGTCTCCACAACATCAGCAGCAGCATATGGGGCCCATGCTGCAGCAGGGACCTTTGAATTCTCCACCTGCTGCCAACTTTCCACAGTGCAGTGAGCCAGTGGGATCTTCCCCTTTTGGGCCTGACGCAACACCAGTTCCAGACGCAGGCTCTACTTTTCATCCTGCCAAACAATCACATGGGAATATGCCTGGAGCCAGCTTTACACAATACCAGGTCAGACCTCAGTTTGGCACAGGTTTGCCTTCAGTTTCTCCAGTAACAGGCAGTGGTCCTGCTTGTGGTCAGGACACCAGCATGCCACACGGAACAAATTTTCCTGGAACAAGTCAGTCTCTCATTCAGTTGTATTCTGATATCATTCCAGAAGAAAAGGGTAAAAAGAAAAGGACAAGAAAAAAGAAGAAAGATGATGATGCAGAATCGATAAATGCACCATCAACACCTCATTCAGATATAACTGCACCCCCAACTCCAGTTGTTTCAGATGCTGTCTCCACCCCAGCGGTTAGCACACCTGCTGAACTTGCACATCATCCAGGAGAAATGGAGGCAGAGGAGCCGCCAGGCTCATCAACTCCAACTGCTGCTGCAGAGAGTCATTCTTCCTTAGAACTGAAAGGTCAGCTCTCCAGTAGTGATTTGCCACAAAACAAATTGCCTGAGCAATCAAGCATAAACCCGGAGACAGACAAGGTCAAGACAGATGCTCCTGGGAGCCTTCAGGAAATTAGACTGGAAAAGACAGAGGCTGATCATTTCTCTAGTCAAGCTGAGCCTAAGATAGAGAGTCAACGTGATATTAAAGTAGAAGAGGATAAAGCTACAATACAGCCTGCTCCTTCCTCACAGAATCAGGTGCAACCCACCAGCAATCCAGCAGCAAAAGGGGAATCAGGGAATGAGCTCCTAAAACATTTGCTTAAGAACAAAAAATCTGCATCTGTTCTCAGTCAGAAATCAGATCATAGCTCCCATTCCGAAGAGAATGCTGAGGAGACCAAATTCGTGAATAAACGGGACCTGGTTGAAGGTGGCATGGTAAGCATTCTTCAATTTATAATACATAGATTTTCAAAATACTGCAAACTGTACAGTATTATAAATTTATTTTACTGATCATTTATAATGAAAGAAATTCCTAAGGGTAGCATTCCCTGAAATTGTGTTTTAATGTGGACTTTTAGCTCCTTATGGTTCACCGCATAAAGTAGGAAATGAAGAAGCATGCTTTGTGAACACAGCTTCCCTCACCACTGCTACTGTCTTTGAGGGCAAAAGATTATTTCCTTCATACTAATATACATAGAGATTTTTTTTAAACCACATTTTCAGATTCTGCTCTCTGTGTGTGTGCATGTGTGCTCTAAATGTTCTCCATTTTCTTGCAGAGCTGTTAAAAGAACATAATTAAGGCTATAATCCTGTGCATAGCTACCTGGGAGTAAACCTCATTTAATTCAGTGAGTCTAACTACCAAGTAGTCATGCATTGGATTGTGTTATAAAACTGGTTTTAGGTTAATAGGGGCATAAGAATTAACATACTGGAACAGATTAAGGTCCACAGAGTCAGCATTCTGTTTCCAAATGCAGCCATTTCTCTGAAAGTACATAACATAGGCAAAGAGAAGATAACTATTCTGTGTGCCAGGCATTTGGTGTACATAGAGGTATTTCTTCTGAACATGGAGGTTACACTTAGCTCTGTTGGCTAATGTCCATTAGTTGTAAGCCAGATACATTTTTGAAATTGCCTATTTACATTTGCTATGATTTTGTTTTCTTTTACTCACTGGGCCAGTTCAAGCATCATGATAAAGTATGATGAACCACAGCAAGCCTCATGTGCTCCCAACCTCTCCCTGCCCTGGCTACAAGTGAAAGACTACAAGTTTACCTTCCATTTTGATTAACATAGAAACAGAGCAAGTCAGAAGGGGTCTCCTGGGCCATCTAGTCTGACCTCCGGCACCTAGCTTTGTGTTATATTCACACCCTAACCATTGGTTAATCTTAACTATGGTCTGTTTGAAACAATTCCACTTCATAACCCATGGTTTGAAGTTACCTTGATTCATGCAAACCACAGTTAAGATCAGCCACAGGTGGTAAATGAAAGGTTTGTCAAGTCATTCTTCAGCGCTACCAAGAACTACCACCTGATTGCAGCAGAGGCATGAGCGCACAGCTTCAAGTTCCCCTGTGTCATGTTCCATCATTGGGTGTTAGGCAACTTCTGGCACTCCAGATGTTATGTCCTACAACTCTAATCAGTCCTAACCCTCATAGTCAATGGTGAGGGGTCATAGGAGTTGAAGGCCAAAATGACTAGAGAGTCATGTGTTACTCCTGTTTTTAACCTTAGTTTATTACGACATCAGAAGATGTTTTCTATATGAATACAGTACTGCACAGTTTGTGGAGAGTGAATAATGTTTCTGTGGCGGCATCTCTCTTGGTCAGTATTCAGTGTAAATGTAGGAAGAAGCTGAGTCATAGATAGTTGTATATCTGGCACCAGTTTTGAATTGATGGATTTTGTATATTAAAAAGATCCTGTAAAAACTAAAACCCCTTTGAGCAGATTTGATTGGAGTTGTAAGACCCTGTCCTTTTGTTTTGCAGCTCTTTTTCTTGGTGCCTGAGTATTTGAGGCACTTAATAGAAGTTGGTTTGAGCATAGTAATTAATTTGAGCAGAGAGTTTAATAGAATGCAGAAATGTTGCATCTTGGTTTTAAAAAAATAGTTTTAGCACTGCTGAAGATTAGATAACATACATTCTGTTAGCCAATCTAGTGACAGCAATTCATATCTTAAGTCTGAAGCACTATTCATAAGTATATTCATAAACTAAAAACTGAAACCCTGAGGAAATCCACCGTTGTGAATTGATAAAAATTCTTGAACCTGAAATCAAACCATTGAGCCACTATTGTTAAAATGATGCTACCACCAATAGTATTACCATATTAATATGTACATAGATTACACCAGAATGGTATTTGTATTAGTATTAGCAGTAATATTTATTTATTATTTATTTATTTAGAATATTTATATGCCATCTACTGCACCTACAGCATCCCTGGGCGTCTCACACTGCTAAAATAACACATTCTAAAAACACAATGTTAAAACTCAACAATAAAAATTTAAACAATATACCCAATTAATCTAATACAAATATAAAATTCCAACAAATTAATAAACCCAGAAGGTCATTGTGGCATACATGGGAGGAATCAGGTATTAAAATATATGATTGCAGAATGGATTGCAAGAGACGCCAGACCACCCGAAATAACTTGGCAGGACGGCACTGTGAGGAAGCAATAGAGGAGGCAAAGAATCCACACTTCGCCTGCTTTATTGCCACAGAGTAGTCCTGATAATGAGCTCTTAAACGTGTTCAGTCAGACTCGCCACAAGATTACCTCCACTTGCGCTCTAGCTGTCTCCCGTCTTGGTTCTTTGCCCTCAGCTCATCATCATACCAGGGTGCTGAATGGAAGGAGGGGGATGCTTTGGAACAATCCAGTCGATTGCCCAAGCCGTCTCCCTATTCCATAGGGCGACTTGGGCATCAACTGGAGCACTAACCATTTGTTGTTTGTCTGTTTGTTTATTAAAAGCTTTTTTAACCCATCTACCACTGACGTCTCGGGACGGCTTACAGTGAAAGAGCAAATAAAGCAAAACAGCACAAAATTCAGCAAATCAAGATAATTAAAACCAACTCAACATTAAAATAATGGGAAAATTAAAAGTATTTGCCTGATGCAAAAAAAGAATAAAGTATCAGCGCCAGGTGAACCTCTCTTGGGAACATATTCCATAGTCAGCACAGTGGGTAGCCACCCTCCTCAGGCAGATAATCTCCCAGAGCCCATTTGAAACCATCAGGATCCATTGGACTCTGAGGGTGGACCTTTGAATGGCTCTCCCACCCAGGCAGAATGGAAAAGGGGACAACAGCCTAAACGTACCCAGATAGTGGTCCAGCCATGACAATGGGGTAGATGTTAGCCCCTCCACATTGGAACCACCATCCCCCTTTCCCATTGAGAAGACCAGTCCAAAGTATGACCCTTCTCATGTGTTGGGCTGGTGACGTGCTGAGACAGCCCCATGGTTGTCATGGCAGCCATGGGGTCCTCAGTTGTCTGGATAGAGTGATCTCAGCATGGAAGTTGAAATCCCTGAGGACCAACATCCTGGGAGTCGTCACAACCAAGTCCGAGACCACCTCTGTCAGCTGAGGCAGGGAGACTGATAAAGCACAGCAGGGTGGTCAGTATGCTAACAGAATCCCTAACTTGCCTTGAGAACCCAACATACAGTACAGGCGCTCCAGACCTTCATCTATAGGGACAGGGAGCCTGCAAGAGAGATTGTATCTTTACAGATTATTGCCACTCACCCTCCCCAGCCCGCTGGGCAATGTTAGTTCTGTATCGAATACCCGGAGAGGGGCACCTCCCTCCGCTCCCACCCAGATCTAAGTGATACATACCAGGTTGACCCTCTAACCCACAATTAAGTCATGAATGAGAGTAGTTTTATTGCAGACCAACCTGGCATTAAACAACAGCACCAGCAAGCCAGAGGGCTGGCTGATACAGCTACCCAGAATCCTCTGGCTGGGGGAACACAGGCACACTCTGCCCCCACCATCAGAGCTCCCCCCGCAGCACTACCTTAATAGCTGCTCCTCTATACTCCCCTCCTCCCAGTAAGTCCATAGCCACAGGGCCAGTTAAGACCCACTACAAAAGGGCACAGTGTCCTGCCACACAGTGTCAAATGGGCGCCAGACAGGCAGATGCCCTTTGGCATCACTCTTCAGTGTCACCCAAGGACCCTGCCCTTGCAGCCAGCCAGGAGAAAAAGTCCTGGAGTTCTGCCTCGGAGATGGAGTGGCCGATGCAGCTCCTTCCATGCTCCGCTGCCGACTGAGCAGCTTGGGTGAGAGGAGGAGAAAAAAGCGAGGCAGGGGTGTGGCTGGCAGGTTCCCTAGTCCCCAGCAAGTTCTTTTAATGACCATGATTTTCAGAGAGCCAATCCAGTTCAGCATTATCAGAATCTCAATTCAGGCAGCTGATTTGTATCTGCAAGAATCATTCTTGAGGGCTGGAGTTTTTGATTCTCTTACGTTCAGTCCTATGGCCTCCCAGTGTTGTCTGCAGGACCATAGGATTATTTGATGCCTCATCTCTGAGGTCCTGCATCCTCAGCGCCAAGACTCTGAATCCAGGCATGCTTGTGCTATTGCAGTTGGAAATCGTGATTGCCCCTACATTAAAAGACTGTTGGCTTAGTGAATGCTGGCTGTACCTGTTGCACTGTAACAAAGGATGCGTGCATCTTTGCTTTAATAAATATAAAAAGTTTTGACCGTTAAAACTTAACTAAGTTAAGGAGAAATGACAGGTAATAATACTTCATGTACTGTGTCATAAACCCCAGAATCATTTCCTCTATAATTTTTGTGTGTGTTTGATTGCTTTGGCTGTTGGGCTGTATAAAAATATAATAAATAAATTCTTTCTTTCTCTTACTTATTCAATTGTTCGTTAGTTTTGTTTTTATTCTACACCTCTGAGTGGTTAACAAAAGTTCTGCACGCCCACACACACACACACACACACACAGGTTAAATGTAGTTTATTTCCAAGCTCAGACTTTTGCTCTTCCATTGTGGCTGTGGGGCAGCAAAAGGGAAGCATAGGGTTAAAGAGAAGATAAATCAAGTGTGAGATATGAAGCAGCTTGGAACAGGGAAGGGAAACTTTGCTGTCCATTTGCCTACACACTCTTGTATATTTACATTTACATTCTTACCATTTGGTGAGCACCTTGCTGGCTAAATAGAGTAAAAAGCTAATGAAGCAATGCCTACATTGTCATAGCATTCCTTGGCAAGCAGATACATGGTCTTTTATTATGGCTTTATAAAAATATAAATTTAAATCAAATTATTTAGATTACCATAATCTAAATTATTTAGCATAATCTAAATAATATAGAAAACTAATCTGAAGTAAACTGATATATACTTATCTTCTTTTCTCCATAAGCAACCTTTAGGGAATCCATTGCAGGGTACATTTGGATGTGGTAACAGCCAGATTCAGAGAGCAGATTTAGGACATGAAATGAAAAAACAGCGAAACAAACGAACTCAGAGGGCAGGTGAGAAAGCAACACCTCGGACTAAAAGGAGAAAAAAGGAGGAAGAAGAAAAGCAGGCTATTTACCCTAATGCGGAAACTTTTATGCAGTTAAAACAGGTAAGGCTTACATGAAACTGCTGCGAGAGGTCATCCAAGGGTTTGTTTTGCGGAGTTATCAGTACACTGATGACACCCAGCTCTGCTTCTATTCCTTTCAGGGCCAGGCAAAACCCTTTTTATTTTCCCATTATTTTAATGTTTAATAGGTTTTAAAGTGGGCTTTATTTACTGGAAGTTTTGGATGCTGTGCTCCATTTTATTCTGTGTTGCTTTTATTGTAAAACTGTCCCGATATGCTTGTAGTGAACAGTGTATAAAAGCTTTAAATAAATAAAGTAAAATAAATAAAGCCCTGAAGGTGGGGAAAGGCAGCACATCACGAGAAGTAGAAATGAGCCAACTGAAAGATGGATTTTTCTGTTCTCAGGTCTCTTACTGTATTTAAATTAAATTTGCTTTGTGATTTACTCTTCTGAACCAAAATGGTCACATCCAGGACAGCTGTGTATTTTTCTTTCTAGCATGTTTGCTTATGCAGAATACCTGTAAACCTAGAAATTCTTGCATGTGAATTTGATACTTCCCTGCAATCCATATCTTGCATTTACTATAATACTTATGTATATTTGTATTTGATATGCTAAGGCCAGGGCTTTTTTTGTCATAGAATGCACCAGAACAGCATTCCGGCACCTTTTTTTGACGGATTTTTCCAAGTGATTGTGAATCGCCCTGTTGGGCGTAGCAGGTCGGCGGCAAAAATCATTAAAATAGTGCATGCGGGCTGCTTGTGTGTCCGCGCCGATTGTGAGGGCACTGCTTGGCTTGGGACGCTGCTCGGCTTGAGATTGGTGTGTGTGGTCGCGCGCTGAGTGCTTACTGCCGGCGGTGACTATTATGTTTATGTGTGTGTAGAGTGACTGGCTACGTGCAAAAGGTAAATAAATTCTTTATTTCAAAAAAAGTTGGTGAATTGAAAATCTTTTTTAGTGTAAAAGTGTGACCCCCAAGACGTGAGTTCTGGCACCTTTTTTTTTTTTTTTTTTACAAAAAAAGCACTGGCTAAAGCCCATGCTGATGCAAATAAAGATGAATGGATGGATTGACTAATTGATATACAATGGTCCCAACATATTTAATCTGTTGCTCCTTGCAGGGTAAAATTCAGGTTTTAGGCCTTCATTAAACATAGTGTATCCTTGTAAATTTTAATGTAATATTTGCTATATTGCAGAATGATGACTTGAAGTCCTTAAAGCATAAATATTCTGAGGGATATGAGGGCGTGTACTTTTACCGTCTCTCAATGAGTGAATCGGCACATGAGTGCCTTCTAAAGGACCCATTTTACTGTAGGCTGGTTCAAACATCACAGAAATCCACCCACCTTGGACTGGTTATTCAGTTGCTAACCCATGGTGTGTTAACCATGCTAACCCCAAAGATGTTCAGTCTTTCCAAGGCATGTTTCCAGTTTACTTCTCTTGCCTGCTCCTTGCACATATCCCAGGAATCTTTGTGGCACAGCTGCCCTATAGAGCAAAGCACCTGCCTTGATGTTACATATGTCCTGTCTTCAGAGTGAAGCAGGTGGAGCAGCCCTTCTTTTGTTTTAGGATGAAGTGGTGAGGATTTTTATTTTCTTTGTCTAAAGCCGAAGACAAAAGCCTCCTTTGCTGCTCCCAGCAGCATGTTCCTTTTCCTAGCACAGCTATGTTTGCATGTGCAATTGACCTGCTTATGGGAAGTGAACATATCCCCAATTTGGGGCCATGATGATTTAGGAGGGTTATTTAAGCTTCCTTCCACTCCTCTTTTCATGCTGAAATCCCCCATACCACAGAGTTGTGAAATAAAGAATTAAATCATGAAATAAACGGGGGGTATGTTTTTCTTTTAACAATTCTGCTGAAGAGGATGGAATTTTGGCATGAAATTGGAGAGGTGTATCATATGCACATATCTGTGCTAACAAGGGGATAAAATAGATTGCTATTACATGAGTAGCCAAGTCGGAGGAAGTGGAGGATGCCAGGCCCCTGTGAGAAGCATTCAGGCTTTTTCACTGTTCTTGCCAAGAGCCTCTGTCACTCTTTCAGACAAGCCATGCTGCAGTCAGCTGCCCAGAGAGCTTCAGCTATTGAGCAGTGTAGAAATAAAATGACACACAATTATAATTGTAATGATCATAATAAACAGAACCATTCTGCCAGGTTCAGATGGCATAGCAATTCGCCCTGAACAACCCAACAGCGGGCCATGGGTTCTCAAGAGTTGCTTATGAAAACTAAGCCTCCTTGAGGAAAGTGCAGTGGAATCAGGCCTCAACAAGCTACCATGGGTGGGTTGTTATCTCCAGGTGCATGGCAAGAAAGGTAGAAAAGCACAGGCCTGGCAAAGAAAACAAAATTTAGGAAAGGCAGGCTTGGTGCTGTGGGATTCAAGGATAAAGGCAAGAAGGCGGCATTGAGATTTAGAGGTGAGATAGGACCATTGCTTCTTCCAAATGCTCATGAAAACAATATGTAATTATATGTAATTCCTTTTGGATAACCTGTAAATAAGTTGTGTGCCCTGTTAATATACCATTAATCGTCAAGACAGGGCTTGGTTGCAATTTATTTATTTATTTATTAAAACATTTTTATGCCGCCCCATTCGCCGAAGCCTCGGGGCGGCTCACATCACAATTGCAATTGCAGCGGTCCACAAGTTACTGTCACTGACTGTGTTCTTCAGTGTTTTTCTGCCTGTTAAAGTATATTTGTACAGGTTGTTTGACTGATAGAAAGAGTACAGGAGGAGATACAAGCTTATGTGTGAAGGGCTTCCAGTAAGGTACTTGCTGAACTACCTTGATGCTATTGTATGATAAGTGGATGAAATCTGGGCTTCTAATAGCAATGGTTGTCTTGCTGTAATTGAGTTAGGGTTGATTCTCAGTTGATTTGTGATGCATCCTAACTGCTCCTCTTTTCCTACAGCAACTCTCTTTGCTGCCTCTAATGGAACCACTAATTGGAGTGAGTTTTGCCCACTTTCTTCCTTATGGCAGTGGCCATCTGAATAGTGGAAGTCGCCTTATGGGAAGCTTTGGTAGTGCTACGCTCGAAGGGGTATCAGATTACTATTCTCAGCTAATCTACAAGGTGTATTTTTTTTTCCTACATAGATCCAGAATTTCTGTAAGAAACCAAAACATTGGGATTGACCACTAATTATAAAAATGATAATTCTTGCATTGTCATCTTCTGCTTTGCTCTTGTTCTTCTTCATTGGAAAGTTGGAAGCATATTAAAAGTTTTTACTCATATTCTGTTAGCTATCTTTTCAAACTGATGTAATATTGAAAGTTGTAATTACAACCTTTTAATTCCCAAGTGCACTGCAAATGCAAAATAATTTCATGGAATAATGAAAAGAATATGACTGTCTTTTCTTACATGTACCTGTGAAACTCCAGGGAGATTCACATGGAATCAGTGTTATATCCTACTTTTATGTCCTTCCAGCACCAGGCAAAGGCCTTTTATTTCTCCCAGGCCTTTTTAAGCATCAACTGAAACTGATGTTGTTCTTGTTCCTTTGAGGCTTGTTGTTTTCATTCCTCTGCTGCTTTAGGTTTGCTTTTCCCGATTGATAGATTTATTGTTTTATAACATACCATGAGAGTATTTACTGAAGGGCAGGAGATGCTTTCCCTGAATAAAAAGAAATAGTTAACTGGGAAATTGGCATTTAACTTTACATTCCCAGCTGATAACAAAATTACCTGTTAAACATATAGTAGGTCAAGTGTTTAGACTTCCAAATAAGGGGATTATAGTTACAGTTTTTAACAAATGAGATTAAATTCCCAATTCCTTTCCCCATGGTAGAGTTGCACTAACTCCACTGTGGTTCTCCTACATTCTTTCATGCCTTCCACAATCACACTCTTAAGTATTCATTATATTCATATACACCCATTCATTCATGTGGTTAACCTCCCTCCGTTTATCCGCACAGCAACCCCACTTAGGCCAGTGTGTCCACTGCATGAGCAAGCAGGGTTGAAGCAAAGTCTGGGTTTGCTGGCTCTCTGTTTTGCCCAGGAAAGGGGTGGTGGCTTTTGCCACACGTTTCAGACAACCTGCAGCTAGATTCCGTTGCCTCAAATGGTGCTTGCCTCTACCCCTTCTTTTCCTTCCATGGTGGGTAGATGGCTGGCAAGACCCTTTTAGACAGCATGTAACATCTCTCCCCCAAGACCTGCTAGTCTTTAAATGACCTCATATACAGCTCTTGCTTTCCTGCACATGCTCAGTTTTTTTCACCTTCTGCTGTCTCTGGTTAAACTGATTTGGCTCGTTTTTGTAAAGTGGTACCTGGAGAAAGCAAAATTAGATCTCAGAAGTGGGATCACCACTGGTGCAGTAGACGGAGCTGTTGATGAATAAGTACTGTCTGCTATAGTGGCTAACCTGAGATGTCATATATAAAGGATGACATACAAAAGTTGTAAATAAATAAGTAAAGCTGCTTAAAACAACAACAACCCATGTCCTCGCTGGCATGAAGATTCATGAAGCCCCATCCGCTTCCTGGCAACAGTGCCCTGCCTCTTCCAAAGACCATCTGAGCGTGCTTTTGAACAGTGCCCAGGCTTCCCCCTCCAGCTGGATAGTCAGTATCAGGCTTAAGAGTGTGAAACTGCCTGAGAGCCCATTTCAGAAAAAACTCTGTGGTAGCTGCTTTCCTTTGTGTGCAGTGGGTCAGGCATAATGCCAAAGTAAAGCTGCACCTTATGGTTTGGATTTGCCCAACCTTATGGTTTGGATTTGGGGCCGGGGTGGGGCATGGTGTGAACTTGAGGCTCCTTTCAGACTCCTTTCAGACTATGGCACCAAACCATAGTTTGGTGTAATATCTGAAACAAGCCAGTGGGGCAGTTTACAGTCTGGAGAGCCCTTTATATGTCGCCTATGTTATTAGTCACTAAATATATATCTTTACCTGAAAAACTTGCTAAGAAAAACTAAGCTAAAATCCTTTCTTCTTACACAGCAGAATAACCTCAGCAATCCTCCCACTCCTCCGGCCTCCCTCCCTCCCACACCACCACCTGTGACTTGTCAAAAAATGGTAAATGGATTTGCCACCACAGAAGAACTGGCTACAAAGGCTGGGATGCTGGGGGGGCATGATGGTGAGTTCAGTGGGCCAGAGCCTTCATTATCCCCCTGCATGGTTCAGATTGTCTGCAGTGAGATCTGAGGCTACTTTCTGTACAATTTTAAGCCACTTTACAGCAAAATGCTATGAAATTCTGGAAAGAATGTCAGGTATTCTGTGCTGAAAATACTCCGCATTTCCATAAAGTTAATGTGACTGATTGACCGAATAAAGAGAGCTGTACAGTTGATCCTGAAATGCATCTAGGCACCTCTGCAGATTTTCAAAATTATTGCAAGATGTTTTTACACTGTTTTTGTTCACCGAAATCCTTATGCCCTAGGACCCAACAGCTTTGGGCTGTAGGTCTTGTGTGAGAGCTAAGAGCAGTAGCTTCGAAGGGGAGTAGCTGCTAAGATGCTCCCTCCCTCCCTCCCTCCCTCCCTCCCTCACACACACACACACACACACACACACAGAGAGAGAGAGGGAGAGAGAGAGAGGGAGAGAGAGAGAGAGAGAGAGAGAGAGCGCACACACACACATATACTTCTGAAACCCCCAGTGAATGGTTAAGGGCACTGTGATATGTTTTTCCATTTACATGAAGAAAGGAACACTACATCTTTCCAGGCTTTGGCTACTGAGTGATTGCCATTTTAATTTAAAGCCCAAGTAGAACTAAGTTAGTGCAAGTTAGGATCCATTTTTGGATTTTTAAAAAGTTCATGTCTTTAGATGTGTTGGGTCATTTCCTAGTTCTGTTCTTACTGCTTTTCAGTTACCAAAGCTCTAGGGCCGAAGCCGTTCCAGTTGCCCTTCAGAGCACAGGATGACCTGTTAGCCCGAGCCATGGCTCAGGGCCCCAAAAGCGTGGATGTACCTGCTTCCCTTCCAACTCCACCTCATAACAATCATGAAGAACTAAGGCAAGTGTTTTCTCTCAATTTTGTGTTGGCTGACCAATATCCCAGGTGCTTCTTGTCCAGTTAAACTCTGAGAAAACACTCAGTACTTTTGCTGCTGTTGTAGGAAAAACCAGATAAAGTTGAAGTAGACTGAAATTGCCTTCAACGTGCTGTCGCTTTCTCAAGTTGCTCATTTGATCTTCACATCACCCATCTGCATGTAAACAGCATTTCTTTTTGTTCCCAGGGTTCAGGATCCCTGTGATGGCCGAGACACTCCAGATAGCTTTGTTCCTTCTTCCTCTCCTGAAAGTGTAATGGGCATGGAAATAAGCAGGTACCCTGATCTATCCACTGTAAAGGAAGAGGCGCCAGATCCCGTTCCATCTCCTATAATTCCAATCTTACCTACGAGTATTGGAAAGGGTAATGCCAAAATAAAGTTCTAAAGGATGCACTGTTTTCTTTACCTGCATTATCTTGCAGTTCAACTGCATTAAATGTTTAATTCCCTCCCCCCACCCCTCTCTAATTTAGGTTCAGAAGCAAAAAGGAACTATATCAAAACAGAACCTGGCTTCTTTGGTGCTCAACTTGGGCCTTCCCAAAATGGCCCTAAATCTGGCCTGGTATCCATAGCCATTACTTTGCACCCTACAGCTGCAGAGGTAAGGAGCTCAGCTTACTCCTGTGTAAGCTCTTGCAGTGTCGTGTGCGGTCTCCGGTATCCTGGGGTGATGATTGCTACTTTTATTTGTGTTGCAGCGCAACAGCATTGTTAACTCTAACAAGCAATTTCAAACACTGAGCCTTTTCTGAGGTTGTGGGGGCAGTTGGCTGGCTTGCCTTTTTCATGCGGTGTCTTCTGCTGCTCCTTTCCTCGAGCTACAACTTCGATGCCATTCGAAACAAAACCAGAAGACACCAGGAGCCCAGGCAATTGAAATATGGGCCCAATTCAAAGCACTGACGCTAATATTTAAAGCCCTGAATGGCTTGGGGACAGCTCATCTATTGGAGCACCTCTTCCCATACATGCCTACCAGGGCTTTTAGGTCATTTTTGGAGGTCTGAAGGAAATAAGAAAGGGGACAGCAAAGAGAAGGGCCTTCTCAGCAGTGGCAGCCCAATCAACTTCCCAAAGAGGTTTGCCTGGTGCCTTCTCTTTACTCTTTCCACCATCAGGCAAAGACCTTTTTATTTACTCAATATTTTAACTGTTAAGGTAATTTAAAAGATTTTATGGTATTTTATAGTATCTGTTTATATTTTAGTTAAAATAAAACCTTTTATTATGTTTTTGTTGGTTACAAACTGAAGTTATAGGGATGTTATTCTTTTAAGGTTTTATTGCAGGTGTTTTTATCTTGATTGTTGTGATTTCTTCATGGCCATATTTGTTAAATTAATACTATTCATTTTACTATGTATTTGTTGTTTTATACTGTACTTTTGTAACCTGCCCTGAGAGCCATTTTGGCTAAAGGGGCAGGGTAAAAATGGAAGGAGGGAGGGAGGCAGGCAGGCAGGGATGGCAGGCAGGCAGTGTACTGACATCAGGCTGTCAAGCCAAAAACTTGAAGCCAGCTCAAAGAGCTCAGGACAAACCGTCTGAATGGGCTTCCTCATGTTGCCATGTAACCTTTCGGAGTGAGTGCTTTTTTGGTCTTCATGTCCCCCAACTCAACCAGAATTGGTGGGTGCATATGTGGTTGCATGTGTTTGTTATACTTGCCCCACTTCAGCACGGGCCTATTCAATTATTTAATAAAAACACCGATTTGTTTTTTCTTTTTCTACTCTAGAATATTGGTAGTGTGGTGGCAGCATTTTCCAACCTTCTGCATGTCAGAATTCCAAACAGTTACGAAGTGAGCAGTGTGTCAGATGTTCCACTGTCTATGGGAATGATGAACTCGCATGGCGGAAATCCAGCCTTTGAGTACAGGCAGCAGATACTACTCCATGGTCCACAGCCAGGCAGTGTCTGCCCCCCTGGACTAACAGGGCCTTACGGACTCAAGCAGCATCATGCCGCATTTCCCCCAAGTGGCAGCGGTGAGTCAGCTTGTGTCTCGTTGTTTGTGGTGCTGATTGTTAGAATTAATAGTGAGAATCGCATGTTGAGACGAGAAACTAAATGCATTGCTGCTTCGTTTTCCTGTTACACTGTCAATACTACAAAGTGCATTCTGGTCAGTGATTAGGCAAAATCCACACTTGTAAGATATTTTGCAGGAGGGTTACTTCCAGTGGGAGATATGCACAATCTTTCTGTCATATACAGCCCCAGACTACTAAAATGTAAATCCAGATGCTAGAAAAATAAGGCAGTGAAAAGGGAGAGTGCAAAATATGTTTTGCCAGGGAGATAAGTTGCCTTGTAGGCCAAGAAAATAGAGTTCCGTGCTGCGTGGAGATGCAGAGCACAAAAAAATACTTTGCTCGGGTCAGGCCTACCCCACAGCCTCGCGACTTATGCTGAAATGACACGTGTTCACCATGTTTTTTCCTTGTCATGTCAAGTTTTGGCAGGCTGCAAAGGACACAGCCCAAACGTCACGGATGGTTCAGCGCTGAGGCCACAGTGGTGTTCTCATTGTAAAGTAGTAGTTCTGGGCAGTGGAGTACGGAAGTCTTTCAAGGATCTACCTTTCTTGAAACAGGTATTACTTACAAGTAAAGATGCCTTTTGGTATGGGTTTGCCGTTCCAATTCTGCGGATGGGGTTTAGTACCAAAAAGGGGGTTGGCTAGGATAGTTGGCTATACTTTTTATACCTTTCATTGCCTCCAACTATTTCACAAATGCTGTTCCGCTGTACTGTTTCTGGAGGGTGGATGAATTCTGCAGAGATTTCTCTTTTGCTAGAAAGTAGTCTCTGGTAGAATAACTTGAGAAGGCATAACACAGCAGTGCTGTTTGGTTTGTTCAAGCAGAAGCGATGTCGTCATTTTCCCCTCTTGCTCTCATATAATTTCAGCTACTGCATTAGCATTAGAAGTGTGAACATTGCTCTCTATCCTGTATATGAATGCCAGGATGTTTCAAGCTGCACATTTCAGAAGCTTGGCATGGCTCTAAACTATTATCAGTAGTCAATTTAATCTTGGTTTAATATTTTTTATTTTGTGATAGTTCTGCACAATCAAAATTGTGTGTGAAGCCATGCCAGTGTATCCAAAAAGTGACATATCAGACACCCTTGCAAAAATTAAAATCTACCATTTTGAGCAGTGGCATATTGGTGGGGCAGGAGTGGGCGTCTCTTAAATCAGCTTTTCTTTTGTTACCGCTCTGTTTGCAGTTCCACCATTCTGAATGCCAGGGACCACATTTTTATTAGTTTACACTGAAGTTTTTAATAAAGTCTTAAGTTCAAAACACAAAAATAGTTTGCTGCATTGAGTGCATTACCTAGTAAATTCCAAATAGCGCATTGGCCTCCAAAGTTTTACTTTACCATAAGTATTTTTTGCCATGTGGCTAATGAAGCAGGTTAGAAATCTAATTAAGAGAGCGAGAGAGAGAACGAGAACTTCTTTTAATCAGTGATCACTAATGAAATAACTTTTCCTGAAGTAAATTGTTTTTTTGATTCCTTATTTCCAGGATTCCAGAGAGCAGTCTGCGAGGGAGGTGGTCTTCTGTAGCAACAATTGTTTTGTTCTTTATTCTGCATCCATGCAAGCAAAAAACTCAGAGAGCAAGGTAACTATATGGTAGTTCTTGGTATTAGTGATTAAATATAATGCACAATTAAGATTCCTGTAAATGTTAATTACAGGGACCCAGGAACACCCCGGTGAGCCACGCAAAAAAATTCTGCCATTGTAAGAGTCAAATGTTGTTTGTTACAAAAATGACACTGGGTGAACTAATAACTTGAACCTTGGATCTGTTATCTACCTAATGAATTTTGCAATTGTGCAGAATTTCAAACTGGTCCAATAAAGATTGCCAGAGACACAGTAAATTAAGATGTGCTGAAAACTGACCTTCTGCCTTTTTATTTTAAACTACAACATGCCTGGGTACACCTCATGGTTTTGGTATATTTGCATTTGTTTGGTGACGTTCTAAGTCATGCTTCATACATCTAAGGGTTTCTGCCCCATTTTAGCCCATGGCAAAGTTCATTTTTGCATGCTGAGCTTTATTGTGAACCTAGAATGCTATTACTTCAGTGGCACAAAAATTTTGCAGTGGGCATTTCTAATACTATGTATTCAATGCTCATCTCTTCATTTATGGATTCTGGCCTCACAAGCTCAGACTATGTTTTACTGTGTAAGATGGGACCACAGTGTTGTGCAGGGACTTGGGCAGTTGAGTCCTTTGGCACTGGCCACCGCTGTTGCCTTCAGTCTGGATCCAGCCCCTCATCCTTCCAACTTAAATTGCCCAGAAGCCATCAGTTTGTAAATTACAGGTGAAGGGCAAAGTCCCCTTCTCCCACTCTAACAGCCTGACACATACTGGGTCTGAAGTGCTTCGTTATAGGTAAAAGGAAAAAGAAAACTGTTAACTACATCTTTAAAGTCACAAGTCTTTCAGGGTGGGGTTGGAATGCACCAGTGGAGGTAACAAAAGGTTTGGGGCTTCACATCACCTGTCTGAAACCAGAAATGTAGCACAAGGACCTTGATCTCTGACCATCTGTTCCACTTAGTAGGTAAAGGGAATGCTGACGTTATGAAGACAGAAGGACAGTGTGAGGGCCCCAGTCTTTGTTGCTGTTTTCTGTGTGATAGGAAAAGGACGTGCAAATACCATATTCATGTCATTAAGATGGCTGGGAGAAACTAGCACGATTCCGTTGTCCTCTTCGTGTATACAGGCACGACACACAAGCAGGGGGAGCAGAAATGAGTCCGTTCCACTTACCTCCTTTTCTGTTGTTGCTGTTCTCCTTACATGTGGAGGGTGACTGTCTGCAGCGGAGAGCTTTGCCTAGCTGTGAAAAACTTTCTTGTCATTTTAGAACCTTGATGCTTGATGCCAGCGCAATTCTGCTTTTGACAACGGGGGAAGGGTAGCTGCCAGATGAGGCAGGGTTGGGATGTTGAGACATCAGAAGCCATTCTGCCTGACAGAAAAGTCACTGAAGGAAGGGTGGGAGGGAAGGAAAAGACTGTGTTGGACACCTGTGCGGGCCCTACTCTCTGTGCGGGTAAGGCAGCACATGCAGGGATCTAACTATTATTTTTGTGTTTGTTTTAGTTTGTATTTTTTCAGAATCCTATTTGGATATTCTGAAAGATTCCACAGTATGGTTTTATTGCACACTTTTCAAAATTAAAGATCCCATTGCTTCCTTTTTTCAGAAGCCATTTGCAATTTAATTTCTTCAAACTTGCTTAAGAAATTGGAGCTCCTAGTTATACAATGATTGAGGCTTATTGGATCAAATTATTTGTTGGCAAATGAAGCAAACTGATTGTTCTGTACATGATTTGATGTTAATGACACTCCACATGTATCTGGCTTGAACCTGATATTGTTGAAGTGTGTTTGTATAAAAATCCGTATTTAACTGCTTTCTGCTTATTTCTCAGGAATCAATTTCTTCCTTAACACAGTTTCCAATGAAGGAGACGCCACCCAAAGTGTTCCATCAGTATAACAACAACATATCTACATTAGATGTGCGTTGCCTCCCTCAGCTACAGGAAGAAGTTTCTCCACCTACATCGCCCCTTATCTCCTTCCCTCCTGCTTTTGAAGCAGCCAGAGTGGAGCCAAAACCAGATGAGCTTAAGGTAACGGTGAAATTGAAACCTCGCCTGAGAACAATCCCTAATGGTCTTGATGAATGCCGACCAGTAAGTAAAAAATGGAAAGGAATGAAATGGAAAAAATGGAGCATACAGATTGTGATTCCTAAAGGAACATTCAAACCTCCTTGTGATGAGGAGATAGACGAGTTCCTCAAGAAACTGGGCACGACCATTAAACCGGATTTGGTACCGAAGGACTACCGAAAATGTTGCTTCTGTCATGAGGAGGGTGATGGGCTAACGGACGGACCAGCAAGACTCCTTAATCTTGACTTAGACCTTTGGGTCCATCTGAATTGTGCTCTTTGGTCTACTGAGGTCTACGAGACACAGGCTGGTGCCTTAATAAATGTGGAACTAGCTCTGCGACGGGGGTTGCAGATGAAATGCATGTTCTGTCACAAGATGGGCGCTACCAGCGGTTGTCACAGGTTAAGGTGCACCAATATATATCACTTTACCTGTGCTATTAAAGCACAATGCATGTTTTTTAAAGACAAGACTATGCTTTGCCCAATGCACAAACCAAAGGGTGCTCATGAGCAAGAACTCAGTTATTTTGCCGTCTTCAGGCGGGTTTACGTTCAGCGTGATGAAGTCCGACAGATTGCTAGCATAGTACAGCGGGGGGACCGTGAGCACACCTTCCGAGTGGGCAGCCTCATCTTCCACACCATTGGCCAGCTGCTGCCACACCAGATGCAGGCCTTCCATTCTTCAAAGGTGCTCTATCCTGTTGGTTATGAGGCCAGCCGGTTGTATTGGAGTACACGGTATGCCAACCGCAGATGTCGCTACTTGTGTTCCATTGAGGAGAAGGATGGTCTGCCCCTGTTCGTGATCCGGATCATTGAGCAAGGCCATGAAGATCTGGTTCTTACAGATTCAACCCCAAAAGGTAACACAGAACCCTGGGAATTTCAGTAGGATTCTATTCTACCTCTACATTCCAGAAATGTATTTGTTTACATCCTCATGGAATTACCTGCACATTATTTTAGGGTTCTTGCCTTGTTTTTTCTGTGTTGGGCTGAACAAATAGCAAATATATATATATATTAGATTTTATATATATATATAATCTAGCTCACACTGATGCAGCTACTGAATTGCCATATCACAGACCTCTTATTACTTAACAGTTGGAGGGATTTATTAGGTAACATGTACACTTACATGTGACATGTAAAGCCACTTTAGATGTGATCAGTCTTGAATACATCAATTGCCTCTGTGTAGCAAATTGCTACATATCTTATACATGATCCTAGAGCAGATCAACCCTGACTGCTCTTTGGAAGGCCAGATCCTGAAGATGAAGCTCAGATACTTTGGCCACCTAATGAGAAGGAAGGACTCCCTGGAGAAGAGCCTGATGCTGGGAACGATTGAAGGCAAAGGGAGAAGGGGGCGGCAGAGGATGAGGTGGCTGGATGGAGTCACGGAAGCAGTTGATGTGAGCTTAGGTGGACTCCGGGGGATGGTGGAGGACAGAAAGGCCTGGAGGAATGTTGTCCATGGGGTCGCAATGGGTCAGACACGACTTCGCGACTGACAACAACAAGAAGTAAATTGCAGGCCCTGTGTCACTGTCACTTGTGGTATTTTGCCATCCATGCACTGCACTACACCACTTTCCAGTATGTGCAGCAAAATACGCATGTGTTCCTCTGATTGATTGATGATACCCTGCCCTTTTTCCTTTCAAGGAACGCAAGGCAGCTTACATTATTCTCCACTTCTCAATCTCATAGAAGAGAGCAAACATGCAAGTTACATTGTTTTGTATTTAGTAATTGTGTCCTTAAATTCATCTATGGACAGGTATAATCTTAAATGTGCAATTCCCCCCCCCCCCGGGGCAAATCCTAGTAGTAAGTCTAGTGCTACATGGAAAGTGCAGGTGCTGTTGTAACAATTGGGCAGAATATGGTTTCTCTTTCCTCCTGCATTTGTTTTGCTTACTGTAGTTTATTTTTCTATCTAGGTGTTTGGGATAAAATCCTGGAGCCTGTTGCTTCTGTAAGGAAGAGCTCTGAGATGCTCCAGCTCTTCACTGCCTATTTGAAGGGTGAAGATCTTTTTGGATTGACAGTCTCTGCGGTGGCCAGGATAGCTGAATCGGTGTGTGGTCATGCGACTGTACCAGACTGGCTCATAATCTGTTCTTGTTTAGCATCAATCAAATGATTGTTTACACCAATTTTTTAATGCAATGAATGTAACGTGTCTCCAGGGTTTACCTAATATGAATTCATAGCAGATTTTGGAGGAGAGTAATGCTTGGGTAGTAAACATTGTGCTATAACTGGAGCAGCAAAGCTTAGCAGAACAGATCAAGAGCACTTTTGGCCAAGATTGAGCTTCCCATTAATTAGGGAGGTTGTAGAAATAGGCAGCAATGGCTTGATTTCTTTCCTCCCTGACTCCCCAAATATACAAGAATATATTTAGTAGGCAGTAATGGCAATGTGGCTGATGCTAGGGGAAGTCTGTACAAGCATGCTGTCAGAATGGGCGGATGACACAAAAGTGCGCGATGGCCGAGTACTGCAGCCCAGGATCCAAAAAGACAAGCTTGTGCAATCTGTTTGGGAACCTGTGCTCTTAAGAAAACCAGCAAGGAACTAGAGGCAGACACAGAATCACAGAATACGAGTTGAAGGTACCGATAAGGCCATCATGTCCAGCCCGCTGTTCAGTGCAGGACTCCCAAGTGCAAGCATCCCTGACGGATGGCTGTCCAGCTGCCTCTTGAATGCTTCCGGTGTGGGAGAGCCGAAGTCACCTAGGTCATGGGTTCGGTTAGCATACCGCTGTAACAGGAAGTTTTTCCTGATACGCAGCCAGAATCTGGCTTCCTGCAACTTAGTTGTCTGTCTTTTTCCATTTCTTCAGAGCATTAGTTATTCTTATCTTGAATATTATGGTTGAATCCAATTGCCCTTTCTTTAGCTGTTTGCAGCTACATTGACTTACACCTCCTTAATGTGATTACAGCTTCCTGGGGTTGAGGCGTGTGAGCATTACACCTTCCGTTATGGCCGGAACCCGCTCATGGAGCTCCCTCTTGCAATCAACCCCACAGGCTGTGCCCGCTCTGAGCCGAAAATGAGCAGCCATGTCAAGAGGTTTGTGTTAAGGTATTTTCTTTTAAATTCACATAGTACAGCCCAGGGTTTATAGGCTCTGTAGGCTACTTGTGCTTCTGTGTGCTGCTTACAAACCCTGTTGTCGTTGGCTGTGTATGTGCATGTCTAAGCCGGGGAGCTTCTTTGCTGTCTGTGCTAGCTGGCTTTGAATGTTTTGTCTGTCTGCTTGCTTGTTATGCAAAATGTTGTAAAATTCAGAGAGATCTTCAGTTTTCTTTCTATGTTTCTGCTGTTATATGACCCATTACTACAGGCCTCATACCTTGAATAGCACCAGCACTTCAAAGTCATTTCAGAGCACAGTTACAGGAGAACTGAATGCACCTTACAGTAAACAGTTTGTTCATTCAAAGTCCTCTCAATACCGAAAAATGAAGACTGAATGGAAGTCCAATGTCTATTTGGCACGGTCACGTATTCAGGTCAGTTACAGCATCTCTTTTTGACAAGGCA